GATTTGATAACCTATTGAGCAAAAGACATAGAAATAACTATGTTTTGACTTTCTTAGAAAATTTGAAATTCTCGCTTTAATACATGTACTTGCAACAAGTGCAATATCTTATTTGCATAGTATCTATATAGATATAAAGCTAAGCATGGTATATGGTATTCCCTCTCCATCCCTAGATGCGATCATGTTAATCACGGATGAGTCCGAACACTTTATTTTTAATTGACAGCGCATCAATAAATTTGGTAACATTCCAATATGATTAAGGGGAGATAACTCCATTTAAACAAACTTCCATCATTCTTCAATCAACCAAAAATGCAATATCACAAAAATATTTGTTGCTGAAAAATCTATAAAAATAAGATTAAGCTTACAAAATCTAAAAATATCTCCCTTATGTTTTTATTGTTTTCAATAATAGAAACAGTGAACAGGATGGTTCATAAATAATAGATAGATAAAATTGTCTACATTCCAATCAACACTCTACTAGATACAGAGTGGCTGACTTTGATGAATGTCAAGAATTTAGTCTACATTCTAAAGTTATAAACCTAACAGAGGATACATTTCAATTTTAGCTTGCTTAAATAAATAACTAAATTTTACAGCTCTCGCTTTGCCATCAAAAAATTGTAAAAGCCTTAAAGAGGAACTCTGACTTCAGACTTATTTTACCAAATACATTGTACATGTATGTCCCAATTTCTTTTGTTAAAAATACGACTAGTACACAATCTACAGTAATTTGATGATATTATTAGTTTTAAAGAAGGTTGAGTGCACTGATTTTCAATAAATAGGAAAGTACATGTAGGTTTAATGTCATTGAATGTTAACAAAGGCCATCTGCAAATGGAAGCCTTCCGCACAGTTGATTTTAAATACTGGTAACAGGATCAATTAAATATTTCAATTAAGTTATCAAAACATCCATCAGTAAAGTAGAGCGGAAATGAATAACTGACCACAGCAGATCTCTGATTATGTTTATTCCAATGATTTATTAAATCCAAAGTTTAATCAACAATCTTTTTCTTTGGTAATTTTTTAAGCAAGAGCAGTAACTCTTTACACAAGTTTGTTGTTTACACCAATGTTTCCCATTGTGGGCAATAAGAAGATCTAAAGTGATGATGAAACAAAAATGGGCACTGTGGCGGTGAAAATGAAAATTAAGAGTGATATGGGGCATTAAAAAAGGAACAGCAATGCCATCTTTACTTAAAGTACACCAAAACGATTAAAATTGTATGCTTTAATAGAAACAATACGACTCAATTGTAAAAAGAAAAGAAACTCTGATACATGTGTAACATGAGATTTGGTCTACTTTGTTCTTTACTCATCACAATAGATTTGTACTTATTCATCTTAAACTTTCAAAATATAATTGTTTTTCTTACGTTTTAGGGTGGCTGGGTGGTCGTTTGACAAATTGCAATTGGGAGCCTCAAAAAACGTTTGGTTTGGGAACAACTGGTGCACACAGAAAGAAAAATAATAATGCTAACCGTAATTAATGAATAGATATAGTCTTGAGTTTATACATGTATGTGAATTAAAGACTCTAGAATAGATCATGTCTAAATTAAAGATTTAGATTCATGGTTAGACCCAACTAACTAACGTTGATATTTCAATATTTGATATGACTATAAAAATAACTAATCAAAACTTTCACTTGATGTATAAGAGCTTGTCCCATAAATTATTGCTTGTCTGCAATACCACTCAAGGTGCAAGCAGATGCTAAGCCCCACGAATGAATCAATAATTAAAGAGCCTTTAGCTGAAGACTTAAAAATCATTTTGAAACTAGATAATTTTATTTGAAAAAAAATTATCGGAAAAGTCTATTTTGCTAAAATCTTTCTCTAGCCTTTTAAGTGGCTTCTGACAGGGAAGAGTCATTACTGTTATTATCAAAGTGTGTCAAATCAATAGTAAAACTATCACTTGAATGTAGGTTTTACAAAACCAACCATTACAGTAAGTTTATGTTTACTCCAAAATGACATAAAGTTGTCCAGACACATAACATTCGGTCATGATATATTATAATAAAACAACTGTCTAAATATTTGCTTTAAAATGTTTGAAACAACTTATTACATGTACATGTACTTAACACATTCCCTCTACTATAGAACACAAGCATTGCTTATTCATTTGGGCAAATATTGATAAATGTTTGGAATTATAATATTCCATACATACAGTATATGTACATGTACTTAATAAAAGAAAATAATAACAAGTGGTTTACATGCACGATACCCCCACATTTTGTAAGAGATGGATAAAGAACAAGCTAAAAATTCAACCGTCATCATGGTGTAACAGTGATATTTGAATGTTTTTTTTTAAATCGGATAAAAATTTTGACCTCTAGGTACCACAAGCAAAAAACACGATTCTTCGTGCAATCAGGGGCCATAATCCATGAAGTTACGATCCAATACATGGCTAAATTGAAAGAAACCGATATCTTTGGGACATAAACATATATTTTAAGTTTCATCAACATCGGATAAGTGGTTGCCCACACTTTGCAAGAGTTCGACTGAGAACAAGCTATATAAAAAAAAAGAAGATTTTCATACAATTAGGGGCCACAATCCAGGATGTTATGGTGAGACATGCGACAATATCAAAAGGAACCAAGATCTTTGGGGTATAAACATATATATCTTAAGTTTCATCAATATCGGATAAAAATTGTGATCTCTAGGATGTCCACAAGAAAAGCATGATTTTTCGTACAATAAGGGGCCATAATCCATGAAGTTACAGTCTGATACATGCCAATATGGAAAGGAACCGAGATATTCATGAGATAAACCTATATTTCAAGTTTTTGTCAAAATTGGATCAAAATTGTGACCTGTAGAGTGTCTACAAACAAATTGTGGACGGATGGACCTGGACAATATACGTTTACATGAAAATGTGGGCGAATAAAAATGTCTGATTTAAAGAAAAAAAAATAATAATTCACCTAAATATAACAAACTAATCTCAGTGATTCATATATAAACATAAACATGTGAAAGATTGATTTTCCTAGTTTGACCTACATGTACATTGTAAATTGTGATAGTGGCATTCAGTGAAATAAAATTGTTCAATGAAGCTTATACATACTTCCCTTAATTCTTACACAAAGCCTGTTCACCCATAAAGACTCCCGTCACATACATTTTGTTAAGATATTTTCATGTTTTGAAAATTAAACCACCCTCTCGCAATGTACATAACCATAGAATTTCATAAATATGTACATTGTAGGATAATTTCTACTTTACAAAGTCTGTGACAAGTTCCTTTAACATGTAGCCTACGTCCAGGCTTGCACAGAAACAAAACTTAATGTTCAAATCAAAATGACTATAGTATAAATGTATTGTGTTGATGAAACACTGAACTTCATTCCATAACCACTAAATCAATCCCCAAGTCATCACAAAATACAAGTCAAATTCTATGGATAGCAACTGTCGAGTACTAGCTACTCCTAGTACGACCTGTACATGTACTGAAAAGTATCAATCCATATTACACAGAACTTTACTCAAGCCAGTTGTCTTCTTGCATGGAAAAATATCTGTACATGTTCCTGTATGTTACATGTATCAAGCTACTGTATGTATATACAGTGTACCGTCCTAAATGTATACATGTACTTACATACTAAAATGTATGTAGATATGTAGATTACACGTTTTCTGTATCTTAATTGTTATTTTTTTTTTCAAAATAGTTGACAAGAGATTTGTGTTTGAATGATGCAATATGTCTATAATTAAGTGTAAACAATATGTACAATTGTAAATGGCAACACTTTGGATGAAAGGTTGTCTTTGGGAAATAATTTGCACTCATAATTTCAAGCTTTTATATTTTTTCTAAGAATGCTATGAATGGAAGACGAAATTAAAGAAAAAAATAAATGTGAAGACACAGATGAACAAACCCCTTACCAACAGGCGGACAGGGAACCAGTAACCAGACAACATGTTATTGTTGTCAAGCAGTTTTGAATTAAAGTAACATTTCTTCTTTTGCAGTAAAACTACCTGGTTGATTATGCCACTTCAGTGTTTTAATGTGAACAAGCCAAAAGTGAGGAGCTGATTTGATGTAAACTACGCTGCTAGAGTTTGGGACTAGAATCGCCGAACACGGTGGGAAAAATCCCCGTTCCGCGGTGGAATCTTGGAGAATCACTAGCGAAACGCCAGCTAGCCAAATCACCGCGAAATAGGGTATTTTCGCAGTGTATTACAGTGTTTCGCGGTGGAACACGGTGAATCGCTTGAGTGCCGATATTATCCCAATTTAAGTATCTTGAAAAAAAAAGTAATTTATTTCAGTTGAATACAAGGTATGTTAACCGTTGGCGAGGAAGCTAGGGTCGGATTCTTTTTCTAACGCACTGTATACATGCATTACGTGTAGCCTGCCTCAATCCCAAAATAAATACTGCTCATCACTAACTCTACTTACCCTAAGGAAAAGATTTAATGAAACGAATAATAATAGGCCTACACCAAGTTTCAGCAATCTTAATTCAATTAGAATCAAAGTTATCGTCTTCCAAAATATTGAGTCATTAAATTTCTTATCACTCTGCTTAATCTGAGCAGAAAATGTTCATTTTTAAACATTGTTGAGGCAATGATGTATCTACGCCAAGTTTGAACATTCTACAAATATCCCAATTATTGTGTACAGAAAGGGATGACAGATGGAAAGACATACTGCTGTTTAGCTTAAGCAGAAAATGCTCAACATCAAACTCAATTCAGACATTCACAATATCAAATATCAAGTTTGAAGGTAAAATGTGATGCGATACAGTTAACACTAACATGTCTGATTATCTATCAATGCTCTTCAGTGACATTCAGTTGTCTTAGTTCCGTGTAAATATTAAATTTAGGCTTTAATAGTGTATGTTGTATTAGTTGTAATAACATAAAAAATTTACATACCATTCTGATTCATCTTTTGTCTCTTTCGCTGGACTTTCCCTGCCACTGACAGCAAACAGTAATGGACCGGTAAGTTCAGGAATGCCTGATGTATCTTGAACTAAGTTTTGAAGGTCTTGAGTGGTACGGATGCCGGTCGTTGATTGCCGTCTTGTACTACTAGACGAAATATCGCTGCTCGATATGCTGTCTAAATTTGGCTCTTGACCAGATAACTGATTTAACTGCATTCCAGACAAATTTCCGCTACTTAACGTAGATTTTATAGATTGAGTTCCAGTGGGCTGTCCTTTTGGCTGCTGGGGAGCAGCTACACTAGGCGTGGATGATAGATCAGGAATGCTCTCCCCTGTCGAGCTACCTTTTGGAGCATTATTAACAAACGCATTTGACTGACCACCAGTGGGTTGAGATTGTGAAGTCTGTCCTGGGACATTTGACATACTATAGGCTTGAGAATTAAAGCCTTGCTCACCATAATGTGAGCCCGGTTGCATAGCATTTATTATCTGTCCAGTTTGAGTCCCAGGCGCTGGAGCAGAGTGATTCATATCACTTTGTTTTGTTTGGTTCATACTTTGAGGCATTAGTGGAACACTTTGAGCATTAGAAAGGGGTAAATTTTGCGAAGAATTTGACTGTCCAGGTGGAACTTGGTGGACTCCCGATTGCACAGATGGTATACCTGGCTTTGGCTGGCTAACTGATGTATTGCTTGGGACTTGTGTTGGTATCTGATTACTATCACCTGGTAAACCAGACGTTGATTGTCGTTGGGATTGATTGTGTGCCACTTGAGAAACAACTGGCTGACTAGCATGTGGAGCAGGATTAATAGGCTTAAAGCTTTCACCCTGAACGGAGTTGAAAGTCTCTGTTCCGGTCATATTTGGAACGGTACCAGTTCCACCAGCTAATAATGGATTCTTCGACGGATCATCCACACCATGTATGTAATGAACAGAGTTCCCAGCACTAGAATTCCCAGAATGCACAGTAATTTCATCACTTTGTTTTTCAGTTTTTTCAGTGGTGTCAAGATAATCGTGACAGTACCACCGTCCTCTGCGAAAGGGTTCCTTGGTTTCAATCTTAACTACTTTAAATCTAGACTGATTATCAGGCTTTTCTTTGGCAATTAATACTTCATCTGGTGTAAGTAAAGCATCTTGATCTAAATCTGTAGTTCTAGATATATCATACATTTCAGAACTGAAATCTTCAGTGTGGCTTTCATCCAAGTCGTCCAAGCTGTCACCATCTACATCAGCTGTCAAATCGCCACTGCCACCCCTCGAGTTTGGAGTATACTGTCCAGTCACAACACTGGTGATTTTGAATGTACTCTTTTTCTTTGGAATGGCATCTCCCGTAACTTTAGGGTATTCAGATGAGCCCCTTGCTTCAACATCTTCCTGTACTGCGACATCACTTACAGAAGTGTTATGTAGCTGGGATTTTGATGAAACAGTCGAACCCACTTTGCTGTCGACCGATTTCTCAGCCATCTTTCGGGTTAGCAGAACGTAACCCCAACACTAAACAGACGTCAATATCCGAATGTACGTTCACTATTATAATAACAACTGTTTATTAAGGTGTTTATTATTCCAGTACTATTGCAACCATCACATTTTTATTGTGTTTTATTAAGCCACTCAATATATAATACACAAAACAAGACATTGGGTTAACAACTTATTCGACGAACAAGATATTATGGCGGAAATTAACGCAAGGTCTGATGGGAAGAAAACTACGTCATGACCTACTCATTCGACCTTACACCACGGTTTGTCTGGTGAACTTTGACCGCACAAGAAAGACGGCAAACAAAACGGCATGAGTCAATAAAAAGCATTATTTACCAATAACCATTCTGTGCATATCGACATAGGTTAGGTTTGGTTAATTTGAAATTCCTATATTCACATAACAAAAGCGGCGCGCATTCTTGAAGACAGAAATATAAATATACGCGGTCCAAAATATGTTTTATAATATTTATTATTATCGAATGCCGAAACCGCAATATTATAAAAGCAATCTTTTCCAGTTTTTAGCACTTTATTTCCCACTGTATTGCTTTTATTTTAATTATTATGAAGCCTATAGTGAGGCCTATACTATGCTAATATTATTTAATGTTATCCTTAAACATACATTATGCTAGAGCTGCATCTGCCTATTGCGGGCCTTTCTTTATTAATTAGACATTTATTAGCATGAAATGACCATAATCAACTCTCGATGCCATCTTTATATGTGTCGGATTTTCACTGGATTTGAATCCGATCTGTTTCTGAACGCTCATTGATGATTAAATGCAAATATGGATAATCGAGGCTATTTTTTTTTATCTTACCGACTATAGTAATGACAGTGGCTAGGCCTAAAATTCAATCGCTAATATGATCGGTTCAGAGTGGAGCAATTTGACTGAAATTTTCAGCATATTTCCTTTTAACTATTATGGTGAGAACTGCCAGTTCTTTATCAAATCTTCCGCAATGTATCTTTAATTCAGGCCTATATCGAACCATTTTTTTTTTTTCAATTAAAAAAACAACAAAGTTTGTATTTTGTTCCTGAATAGCCTACTAGTAGATCTACGGTGTCGAAATTAAACTAATGTTGTGATTTTAAAAAGGAGTAAAAGCTGATTGAAACGGGTACACCCCTTTGAATTATGTTTTAGAATATAAATGTTTTCCCGCACTTGCTTCTATAACGCCATGACTAGGTCACCTTGCTCATGAACACGTTTTTGGTCCGAATACCTATTTATGCTCATAGCTTTTTAAGCTTCGCCGTTTTCAATGAAGAACGGTTTGTTCAATGTTTACTTCAGGTTAAATTTAACGGTTTTCGGAAGGTTTCCCATTGTCACCATGGCGCAGTACGAAGGGCCTGGCGGGGAATGACGTTTAGTCGTTCAGCTGGGACGAAATCCCGAGATCCCCCGACAGATGGAAATCGAAAAAAGAATAGTACGTAGCCACGCTGTCATGTCAAAGTTTCACATCGTGGCACATATTACATTTATTTCGTTTTTCAAACGGTATAATTTTGCACTGTTTGAAATATGTATATACACTATACACTAATACACTAATGTATTTTCGATATGAAACCCGCTGGCGCATAAAACATATTTATATTTCCAAAAGATATATAGGGAAACAATTAGCATATTGTGTATATTTAAAAATATAATTTTAAAAACTTGACATGCAGTCTCAAATATGATTATTCGAATATCACATAAATTATATTCTTACAATGTATTAAAGGCACGAGCGTGATCGTTCACATATATCTCAATAGTCGAAAATATATACTATTTTAATGTAGACCCCGCGAAAAAAATCTTATAGGGACAATAACACTCTTGCTGGCTTGAACTCCAGAAAATAAAAAATAGCCTTATTCTAAGTACTAGATGTTTTAGTGTCTTACCTGTTGTGTAAATGGGGATCACGTGGCTAAGTGGGTAAGACGCTGACTCGCTAGCCTGGAGGTCGGGTGTTCGATCCCTGCATTGGCCGAGAAAGTTCATCCTGATTTTCCGGCGTGATTTCCCCTTGTCAGTGATGCAGGACGGAGGGCCTGACAAGGACAGCTGTCTAGTCGTTCGGATGGGACGATAAACCGAGGTCCCGTGTACACATTGGAGTGGACGTAAAAGATCCCTTGGCAGTTGGAAGTCGATATAAGAGTAGGCAAAATTTCCCTTATAGCACACTGCATGGCGCATACCCGTCTTCATTAGCCCAGTTAAGGAACAGAGAACAGTAGGACGTTAAACCCCATTTCATTTCATTTCTGTTGTGTAAATTATCCATTAAATCCTATTTTACTTGTCCAGAGGGTTCAAAAATATTTTTTTCCGGCGTGGTTTCCCCTTGTCAGTGATGCAGAACGGAGGGCCTGACAAGGACAGCTGCCTAGTCGTTCGGATGGGACGAAAAACCGAGGCCCCGTGTACACATTGGCGTGCACGTAAAAGATCCCTTGGCAGTTGGAATTCGATATAAGAGTAGGCCGTAGTGCCGCTGCCCGGGCAAAATTTCCCTCATAGCACACTGTATGGCGTATGCCCGTCTTCAATTAGCCCAGGTTAGGTGCAGAAGAGTAGGACGTTAAACCCCATTTCATTTCATTTCATTTCATTTCATTTCAAAAATATTTTTAAATCCAAGTCACATTTGAAAAGCTTTACGTCAAGCTTTTCAAATCATTTAGTTGAATTTTTCCAATTTTTTAAATTAGGTGTGTTAAGATGAAATTTGTGTCATCAATTAATTGGAATATTGTAAAATAGTACAATTTGTTGACCAGAATAAAGATTGGGGCATATTATTCAGTTACAACAAGAGTGTTATTGAGCCTTTAAGAAAAAGGGTGCTATCAAAAAACCTTCAAGAAAGAGATAAGCCGATGGCTAAAACCATAGAGATTTATTCAAAACCAAGGAAATTGCATCTAAAGATGCATATCAGATTCTATAATTAAAGAAATACCAAGCACTTGTTTTTGGAATTCATTTTTCACGGGCTTCGTTAAAATCATTACAAACCGCAAAACAATATATACGACTCGTTATTTGAAAGTTCAAACGTGTGTACTCGTATCTCAGCGATGGCTTAGTAGATTAAACTCAAATTCTGCATACAGACTAATATATACATGTTGTCCAATCATGCCAAAGTAGACTTTATACTTATACCCTTAACACGTATTATATTCAAGATGATGAGGATACTTTATGGCAAATATTGGTAGGAAAATGTTGAAATTTTTTGAACTTGTTCAAATATTATGATTAATTCTGTTAAAAAACACAACAAAACTATAAACAAAAACGATTTGGTCAGTAGGGTTTAAGTGAGAGAGAGAGAGAGAGAGAGAGAGTAATGGGGTTTAATGTCCACTCGACACAAACTAGGTCATTTCTGGACTAAACCATGGATCAATTTTATTTCAATAATTCGCTTGCGCGTAGGGGTTTTTAGCAGTGGGAGGAAACCGAAGGACTCGGAGAAGACCCACGAGGTTGGACAGGCGACCCTACTCCTTGTCACGTACAACCGGGGATTCGTTTGAGTGAAAATCATTGTATTTATCGTAATACCCTGCCACTGTGGGGATCGCTTTTGGGTTATACAAACATGTTATAAAATACCAAAAAGTGAAAACTGCATAATAAACCTTCCTGCAGATTATATCACACAAACACAAGTGATGGGTTAAGAAAACGAAGTCGAGATTGCATGGTGAGGTGTCAACCATTTGTATTCATATTATGTTTTAAAATATCGGATTGCTATACAAATTTTCTTTCATTTTTAAATAGTATCCATTCACAACCAACACCACACATAAATATTTCTTAAATAATTTTTTTATTCTAGCTTGTTTAAAAAAACCAAAAAAACAAACTCCCCAAAAACTTTCCGTTGCGTCTCTCAAAGTTTGGACTCCTGAAATTACAGTTACATTGCAGTGGTCGGGGATATCACGGTTTCATGGGCATATCTACTCGCAGTCCCACTTATCGCGAAGACTTAGAAATGATCATAACATTTTTAAATGTTTTGATTTACATTATCGCCTGCTCGTCATCGATACTTTCACACGAAGTAACCGATAATTATTAAGGTCAATACTATCAAATCTACTATCAATATTTATCTACAGACAATATCAATATTTATCTAAGCTAATTCATTTTGAAATGTTGACAATTCTCGTGTAGACTATAGAAAGCAATTCATTGATGAACATTATTGACAAGCTGATAAGTCGAAATATTACGTGAGTCAAACACACTTAAAGATACATTATGTGAGATTTAGATAAAGAGCTAACCATTCTTGCTATAATGGCTCAAAAACAGATAATGCAAAATGCAAATATTGAAAATTTCATTCAAATTACTCTATTCTGAGCCAAGTATCACTGTTTGTAGATTCGACAAGATGTGTGTATTGTGGTAACCAGAAAACTGGTATATTCGAGACTTACACTCTCTTTCCCATTTTTAAATTGAAGTTTTAAAATCTCGAGTATCCGATGAGATCGAGAGCTGATCATGGTCTTGTTTTGTTTCTAACTGACTAATTAACAATTTAGATAACATTTAAGGCCCTAAGAAAGACTTGCAATAAGCATATTTAGCTCGTACATAATGCCTTAAGAAATACAGTTTTGAAATGGACGAACGATTGCATTCATGAACTTCTGTGTGGGTTATTAAGCTTTCCCTTTATTGCAAAATATCTAACGAATACGATAAATTAATATTTGCACGGTTAACCATTATTCTATTGTCTGGTGAATATGTGACCATCGCTGGAAGCTCCCGAGGATGAAATTCAGTGTCGGACAAAAAACGTCTGGGTGCATATTGGGGGGTTTGCAAACTAAGTTTAAACTAATCCTTAGTCCATGATGTAAATAACATCATATTTTAAAATTTTTGCTAAATGCGACTAAATTAAGGTCAGTTATATCAAGAATCCCCGGATACGTGTATAAAATACCGGTTCTTTTCACACCAGCGCGCTCAAATTTTTGTTGCCTTAACCCGTTTTTGCGCTTTCCTATTTTGAAGTATTACATTTCAGAACATAATGCATAATGAGTGCGACGACCAGTGTACACAACAGAGGGAGCGATATTAAAATCCGTCCATCATTTTTTTTCTAACACTATACCCTCTGAAACCTAACAATTACTTTTCCCTGAACATCTCTGGTACCATTAGTTCATGGACTCACCTGATCATGTCCAAAGCCTCTAATATAGCCCATTTGCCTTGTCAAAAAATTTCAAATCAAAATTGTGGGCAAGCTTGTAGGCCATTTCTTTGAAAAGGTACCATGCACAGGCCTGGAGAAAAGGTTGGCTATAGTTTTTCGCACCAAATTAAGCCGTTTATTCATTGATTTATGTCTGCTCCTTTAATGTGCCCTTGATGGCTTGCTTGTAAATTAAGAACAGGGGCCAATTACATCAAATTCTTGTTGTGAAAAGAAGGAAAAAAATTGTTCCCGGCTAGTTTGTGTAAGCATATGCGTTATGCATTTTCAAATCCGCAAGTTTGTGTAATGGTGTGTTATCCAATGTGCATATTTAATACGGCTAGTTTGTATAATGGTTTGTGTCTGTGATGCTAGATTGTGTATATTCTTTTGGGCTGTATGCATTGTGTATATTGGACCCGGTCAGTTTGTTAAATGGCTTATGATAGACCCGGCTCCCGTTCAGGCCTTCCCCTGCTCGCGCAGAGCATATTTTTTTTCTCTACATTCATCGAAACGTCGAACATACAAACGCGCGAAGCATCGCCGTCGTTTTGGCGCCACCCAGGGGCTAAGTGAGAGTTTTTGCGTCATGGTTTTGAGTTTTTGCGCCTGCCTGAGTTTTTGTGCACAGCCCAAATGGCAAAAAATCACTCGGTTTCAATGTGGTTTACAAGATTATAATACAAATCGACTCTAGCATGTTCCACACAGCCCAATATTACCCGGTGGGTGCACCGGGGAACTGGGAGGGACTATCACCCCACACCCGGGATCTTGTTCCTCTTGCAAAATCATGAGTCACCACGCCCCTGGCCCCACTCCACTCTGATCATATACATGTATGCGTCTATATGAGCAGAAATATTGTCTCAGAGCTTGTTATTTTTTAATACTTGATGTTGTCTCCATTTAACTGTACCCCCAGCTACTCAAATTCAAAATTGGTTATTTTGGGACAACGTGGTAATTTTTATATGTACGAAGTAATAGACTTTTGCGTAGACAAAGGTGTTACCGCCTGTACATTTCCAAAGTTTTGTCCCATAATAAGGCGCAGAGTTGTATATAGTTCTCGTCGTTTTCATCAAATGTTTTAATTTGAACATTCCTGGTTCCAATTATTTTATTCTAGGCTAAAACGTTGATCTAGTAGGTAAAAATAACGTCCTAATGAGGCTTATAAGGAAAATAATTGTGGTCTGAACACTGCAAATTATACCTCCACATGAATGTTGCCTTTTTTTAGTTTCAGTTTAATCGATTATTGCTTATTTGAAAAAAACAATAATGTTCGATCGAGACATTCAATTAAAATCGTGGGACCAAAGTTACAGGGAGAAGGAAATAATTAATCCATATTGGATAATATATTTAAAATAACCTCGGACTCACCTAGTTATCGAACATAAAAAGACTTACTTAGAGCGTGGTATTTGTTGGACCATAAATTGACCCTTGGCCACATTGTGAACGATTTGTGTCAAACTTTGCATACGATGTGAGCACATCCAATGTGACCGTAGGCTTATATCAAATTGAAAATTACCGACTGCCGAAGACATTCAAAGCCTAACTCCTATTTTAAAATATTGCTGGACTTGGGTAAATCGTGCAACAAAATGAAATGGGGTTTAACGTCCTACTATTCTGCTCCTAGACTGGGCTAATGAAGACGGGCATACGGCATACAGTGTGCTATAAGAGGAATTTTGCCCGAGCAGCGGCGCTACGACCAGGGGAGGATTGGGCCATCGGGCGATCGCCCTAAGGGCCGGTCGGACAAAAAATGAAAAAAATAATTTTTTCCAATTCGTCTAAAAAACCTTTTCAGCTGAACATTATATGGGGGGGGGGGGGGGGATTGGACCGACCATGGAGCGATGATGAACATGTATGTGGCCTTCCGGACCGCTTCGACACAGGAGCCCGGGTCGGTTCCTTGCCCTAATCCGCTCCTGGCTACGGCCTACTCTTATATCGAATTCCAACTGCCAAGGGATCTTTTACGTGCACACCAATGTGTACACGGGACCTCGTTTTTTTTTATGTACCATCCGAACGACTAGACGGCTGTCCTTGTCAGGCCCTCCATCTTGTATCACTGACAAGGGGGAAACCACACCGGGTAATCTAGAGTAACGGAATCTGCCGAGGTTTGCCGAGTGAGTCTTCAACGTACGGAGGCACACTGATCCGCAGTGAATATTTGCTAGGCCGCTACAATCACTGATAAGGATGACATCGATGTGGCTTAATGAGCCAGAAATATTAACTTTTTTTCCTGCGACAAATTAAATTCTAAAACATTTTTTTTTATGTATTGGAAAAATAAATAAAGGCGTTTGATGTATTTGTAGGTAAAAATTATTTCCTATTTAGTGTAAATGGGTATTAAAATGACTAAAATGCAGCATTTTCTCCGAAGCAGTAACGTCTTATGTAAACAATGCACGCGCCATTCAGCCAATGATTGACATTGCGTGCTGTGACAGCACGTGTTAAGGCAGTCATCTTTGACAGAGATTTATCACTAGACTCGTAATTCTCTGTGAAACAGATTGGTACGGAGGGTGTGGGACCATTGTCAATATTTGACGAAAAGTTCCACTGCTCATGTACCGGGAGTCTGTTTTTTTATGGGTTTGATTATCCAGTATCTTTGGTCAAGTCAAGTAAGAGATTCGCCCCTTCCCGCAATAAATCCTATAAATTAGGATTAATTAAAAAAACATAATTATGGCCCATGAAGAGAGAACTTTTACAATAAAACAAATAAAGAGTGTTGGATACTGAACTGGCAATGCAATCAAATGGATTTTCTGAAATGGCATTCTTAAATTAATTTCATGGGCGTCGACATCTTGTTTTAAGCTAGTTACCTCCCTTAGACTTTGTTTATAATAATGTAAAAGACTGGATAATCTAGCCAATGACCTATTATTCTCAAATGTTGACAAAGCATCCAACTAATATTTGTAGAATATTTTTTTCTGGATGATAGAGACTATCTGAAATGATGCCCAGAGCTTTTATGGTTTTATATGCCTTGGACTTCTACTATCTGGACATGCCTCATACCTTGCATACCAACAGGTGGCATATGACAAATGTGTTTATTAACCAAATTTCAATTCATGTATCATATTATCTCAGATTTTCGTTGTTTCATAATGCTGTTTTGCTTCTCTTTGAATCTGTAAACAATAATTAGTCAAGGCCATAATATTATACATATGACTCATATGTGTTCTTTTGCACAAATCTCACCCTAGCACAAGAAAGTGCGGAAATGGTTGTCTAAGTAATTATTTATTTTAAAAGACAGTTATTTGGTTAGATCTATTCTGATGTAGATTTTGTAAATCAGATACCTATATATACCTGTGGAGTTTGTTTAATAAGTCACTGTGATGTCTGTTAGATCTTCATGTATTTGTTGAGGTCATGCTGACTGATTTCAATAACAATATAGCTATGCATTGGCTGCCAAGAGTATTGAACACAAATTCTTCAACAAAGACTTCCTTTTGTGGCCTCATTTCTATGATTTAGTGATAACAATGTCTTTACTGTTTTTTTTTATTTAAAAAATTATGCAACATTATATTATACAGTATAAATACAGGTATATTTACAATTATTATTGTGTATCATTTTATAGTTTAGTTTTCACCTAATTTTATAGAAATGGATTTTTACATATTACCTATAACTATATATACACTCTATAATAATTTACAGTATGCACTTTGATTATTTACCAATGAACCATTAACCCTTTTAAAGTAAAAAGCAGCATTTCTGATGAACAAACATTAAATATATTAGTAAGTGAAGTAGGACCACACCACATGCAAACTAACATTTACATACATTTTGGTTTGGACTTGTGCGCCATCTAACATTATATTTTATTTTTTTTATTTTATGTCCTTATAGTGAAATATACAGATACACACTTTTTAAAACAAATTTTCATAAATCACATGAGTGTCTTATTTGACCAGAATTTCCTTTAAAAGGTTTAACCATGAAAAAGTGAGATTGCACTGAGATTGTTCTGTTATGAAATATAGTGATACTTATGAATCTTAACATATGCATATTTCAGTTGTAAATCATAGATAAAGAAAGCGTTCATTTAAATTCACAATATTCCAGAATAAAAGGCAAATATAGACTTTACAGTACTTTACAAAATAAAAAGGAGTCTTACCAAACAGCATTTTATTCAACAACTGATTATTATTGATCAATGAAGGCCATCTAAAATTCCAATTATTATCTATTGATTTCATTTCCCATTTTGGCCCTTTAATCATTAGCCAATGCCTTATTGATGATGCATATTACTTAAGATAGAAATGATACATTTGATTATTTTTTTGGAATAAAATGTTTTTTTAATACGTTACTGTGTATAGTTTGAAAGTCTATATTCAACTTTTATTATGGCATATTGTGGCTTTAACAAATGATGATATAATTAAATTAAATAAATATTATGAACAACTATTATCACAGCAGATATGAGCAAACAGATATCATTTCATCATGAAGATACATAATTATATTTTTTCAATGTATCTTCTGTTCCTAAACGAAATTTTTCAATGTGGGAGTCAATAAGTTCTTCTAATGCTATTGTTCTTTCTTTTTCTTCTTCTAAAAATCTTTCAGCTATTTTTTCAGCTTGATCTTCTGTCTAAAGAATAAAAATAATAACTTTTTAATTCTAAAATAATTCTAAGAAAAATAGTTAAAGATCCTTAATATATAACCACCAATTGGAAAATAGATTCATGCAACTACAAGTGAGAAAACAGCACATAATATATGCCAATGGCAAAAACAACAGTTAATAGTCCATAATAGGACTGGACAATTATTACAATAAATCAATTAAAGATACTTTATCACTTTATGTGAGATTAGATAAAGAGCTGGCAGTTCTCAATATAATAGTTAAAAACTAGATAATGTAAAGGGAATTTGCTGAAAATTTCAATCAAATTGATCCACCCTGAACCAAAACAAAATTTTAGCGATTGAATTTTCGGCCTAGACTCGATCATCATTACTAAAGTATGATAAAAAAGCATAGTCTTGATTATCCATTTCATGATTAAATCATAAATGGAAGTCAATCAGCAAATTGGAACCTAATCCAATAAACATTGCAGGCTAGTGATGACATCGAGAGTTGATTATGGTCTGGATAAGTTAATTAATATCTAATTAATAATTTAGATAACATTTCAGGACTAAAGAAAGACCTGCAATAGGCAGATTTAGCTCTTGCATAATGTATGATTAATTGCAGTATGTAAATGTTATTGATAATAAATTTTTGACTATTAAAAATACTACTATAATTCAATACATTGTTTGATGCTACATGATCCAGGCCCTTATTCACGAAAACTTAAACTAAGATACAATCGAAATTTTAAGAAATACTGCAATTCGATTGGCTGACCAATATGCAAATTGATTTTACTGGTCAGCCAATCGAATTTCAGTATTTCTTAAAATTTCGATTGTATCTTATGTAGTTTTTGATAAAGAAAAATTTCAAAATATCATACATTTCCTTATTGATAATGCCATATTTGAGGTTGGGGATCAGATAATGCAACAAACCATTGGTTTGCCAATGGGAACTGACCCCGCCCCATTTATGGCAAACGCACATTTATATAAATACGAATTCGACTTTCAAGACCATAAAAGAAAAACAGATTACAAAGTAGCTAAAAGTCTAAACTATACCTTCCGATACATTGATGACATAACACCTATCAATGATAACGGAAATTTCAACAAATATAAAAGTGAAATTTATCCTCCTCAACTAATATTAAATAAAGAAAATTCCGGAACTATAAATGCATCTGTTCTTGACCTTAACATCAATATAATTAACAATAAATTTAATGTCGGTATTTTCGACAAAACTGACAAATTTGGTTTTGAAGTAGTAAAATACCTGTCAATCTATAGTAACATACCAGATACCACTCTATATAGTGTTTCTATTCACAGGCATTATGATTTTTGACAATATGTAACGATAAAGATCTATTTCTCTCCCGAATAAAATCTCTGTACTTTAAATGCACTGCCAAAGGCGCTACACAATTACGCATTTTAAAAGAAATTTCAAAACTTCCATTACTTCAACATACCAAGTTTGACATTTCTTGTAGGTATATAACCGACTTCATACTGGATAATAATGATCCAATTTAAATTTTATTTTAGAGTTTCTGTAGTTACCTAACACTGTCTGAATTACCTCCCTTAATATTATGCCTTTATAAATACACTTACATAGTACGATTTCTTCAACATACATGTTTTGCATTTCTTGTGTGGGGTATTATATTAATATATTATTATATATTGTACAATTACATAACTTAATAATTCCGATTAGTCGCTAGAACTTATGTTTTTTTAAGCTTTTAACGTTATTTTATCTGGATTATCTCCCTTATTATTGTGATTTATTTATCACCTTCTAAGATATGACGTCATTCTCAGTCAGCAGACAGTTTACATTTCCTACTTGCTTCTCTGTATTCAGTTTTGTTTTTGTTTTTTGTGACTATGGAACATGTACCCTATATGTATTAAATACTGAAGCGTTTCCTTATTGAATTTAAGAGTTTAGACTACTTTTTTATACTTTTCACCTATGTGGTTACTTGTATAGTTGAATTTTACTACATATGCTTACATTTGTATTTCGTGTAGCATATAGCAGATCATGACTCATGCTGGCATTACACAAGGGGTTCTTTGGGTTGTATTCCTAATTGTTTTCAAATTTGAGTGAAGTCTGTGTGTCACTACAGACCCGGGACTGTACAGCTCAGTGGACGCTTACGGCTAGCCCCCCGGATCCATTCACTTTTTTTGAATTGTCTGTATGTTTGTGTTTTCCCGAGTATGATGTCTTGTCCGTGTATTTGTCTTTGTGTAAATTTTGTGTGGTGCAGTCCCCCTGCACTTATTATTAGTTTAAGTTTTCGTGAATAAGGGCCCAGCATTTCAGTGATCACCAATAATATTATCCAACAGATTTTTCATTTCATTGAAACACAGTGTATGCTTGATCTTAAAATGATTCAAATTAACCATAATAATCTATATGACAATATGCAATTCTGTATTCACCGAACCTTTTCCAAATACCTAACCCATGTATACTACATGTTTTTCTGCCTTAAAGGAACATATATTTTGGGATTTTGAAATGTTTCAGTATAAGTGTACATCAGTGATGGGATTTTACCTGTATATTCCGGACTTGTCCGAATCTTTTTTCGAAACGCCCAAAATTGTCCGAGCGGGAATATGCCGAATTGGACATCAAGACATGGTGAATAATATTCAAATTCCAAAATTAATATAGTGTACTGAGTGTATAACTACAGTGCAACCCGATTATCATTGAGAATAAGCTGGATTGATTAGGTAATTAAGTGATCGACTACTTATCGTCTACACACCTACCTTGATTAACTACTTATTCTGCCTTGATTGGCTGACTTAATTCTTTATCGGACAATTCATCAAATCAATCCTGAACAGAAGTCATTGCTTCTCCTTTGTCGGACGATATATCAATCCAATAAGAGTGATTATAAACTTAATCTGATTAACCTGTGATTTATCCATTGTCTCACGTTTTAATCTCCTTTGTGTCGGACAAAAATACGTAGAAATTAGTCATATATGTCACATATCCTGATAACATATAACACCTCAAATCAACATACATTGTATCCGATAACTTGTCTGTCATATATTTTCGGTGGCAGCCGAAGTTAAATAAAGATATTTCACACACACGCATATGGCGCTTATATAGTTCAGTAATTAAAATGAAAGTACAAATCTCGCGAGACATGTGAAATTAAGAGATGTATACGTGCCGAATGCAATACGCCTGATATCCGAGAAAAGATTCTATTTTGATGGCATATTGTCGGATTTATGATCATATTTTGAATGGGGTTTATGTCTTTAAATAAATAAATAAACACGCTAAGAAATGTTGACGAATATTTTCCATTGGAATGACGTAAGTAGTTAATTGTTTTAGATGATAGCGCGTGCTACAGTCGAATGCAATTATTTAGCATTTTGTGTCACTCGCTCGTTGTATTAGAGCGTCGTTAACTACTGTTTACGGCCAAATAAATTTTGGGATGTCATTTTTTTACCTTCCGTATATAAATCGAAACGGAGTATCAGACGAATGTCGGACTTTGCTGAAAAATGTACCGACGTGACCTGAAAAATACGGTAATTTTGGGGGAGTTTGAAACAGATCAGCAGCAGTCGGCACGCTGCCATTCTATAGTATTACGATGTCATGTAATTTTGTAGGAATATTATTGACATATATTTGAATACCGTACGGGTTTTAAACATGAAATATAACGAGGTGCACCTATTTTATTTTACATATGAATTTGAATATATTTTGTTGACACGTGATTCTTAATTGTGTTTTGAAAACGTTATGCCCCTTTATTTTCGGGAAAAAATCTCTGACAAGAAATTTTTTGAAATCCCATCACTGGTGTACATGGAACTAAAAAGTAACATTTCTATGGTTAAAAAATTACATGTATATTTTAAATTAGTGGAGATTCTTTTACAAAAATTATTAGCCAGTTAATCCACAAGTTACATGGGTTTAACATACACTCAACACAAACTAGGTCATTTCGGGACTAAAATGGTTAAATTATATTTCAATAATGCGTTTGCACGTAAGGGGTCTTTCGTAGTTGGAGGGATCTGGAGGACCCAGAGAAAACCCAATAAGTTGGACATGAGACCCTACTCCTTGTAACCATTCGCCCAACCAACCCCCGCCAAATTTAAAAGAAATGTGAAACTTACCAGAAGTCTACTAACTAAATCACCAAAATCTGATTTACTACATAAAGACATATCTACTGTATCAGCTACTGTAAGAAAGCTAGCATCAACTCTATCACGTCCACTGTGTTTAGATACCTCATTCATTAATCCTGCAACAGCAAATAAAATTCACACGTATCAACTTATATTGTAAAGTAAATTGGATTTTTTTTTTAATAGAACTTTGGTAATCATGTTTATAGACGTAAATCTGACTGAAATTGATGCTACCCCATTTATCCTCTTTTCTAAAAATATCAGACAATTACAAACCTGCATTTTGATTAACTTATCCTTGTTAATTATTTAGGAGTATTATGTTTGACAATAATGTATATTTACACGAGGCACTACTCATATATTATATTATTATTTACAGAATGGAAAAGCACATTGGTGGTAAGTTACAATTAATTTCTTGTTCTATACAACTAATAAATCAGATTCTATATAACAGGGTTCCCGCGGTCCTTGAAAATCCTTGAATATCCTTAAATTTAAAATTTTATTTTCAAGGTCTTGAATATCCTTGAATTTTGCGGAAATAGGAAAATATCCTTGAATTTCAGTTGAGATCCTTAATTTTGTTTCAAATGTCTTCAATTCCTTATAAATATGAGATTATAACGATAGTTGGTAATGTTTTGGTTATTTTTAAGATGAAAAATTGTAACTTTAGGCTAAAAAATGTCCTTGAAAATCCTTGAATTTGACGTATATTTATCCTTGAAAAAATGTTTGATGAAGCCGAGGGAACCCTGTATAACTATGTGAACATACTCATGTTTTCACGTTTTTGTATATGTAGCTCTTCTTCAAGTCTTTGTTTTTGATCATATAGAAGTTGTAACTGTACATCATATTGTTCTGTAGTATAATCTTGTTGATCACCATTAATATCACTAAATATTTTACTGTTATCTACCATAGTATCACTGCAATAAATGAAACATATATTTTACTATTATCTAACATATAGTATCTCTATATTAAATAAAACATTATTTTATTATTATAGTATTTTACTATTATCTAAAACATAATATTTTACTATTATTTAAAACATAATATTTTACAATTATGTAACATAGTATCTAGATAATATATAAAACAAAGGAATACTATTATGTAACATAGTATCTCTATATTAAATAAAACATTTTAATATTACTTAGATAATATGTTACATAGTATTTTACTATTATCTAAAACATAGTATTTTACTATTATGTTAAATAGTATCTAGATAATAAATAAAACAAATGTTACTATTAAGTAACATAATATCTCTATAAGAAATAAAACATTATGATTTATTATTAATTAAGTAGCATTATGGTATTTCTACAAGAAAAAAATAACAAATAAAAAACAGAATATCACTGAGGCTGCCTTAAAGTTATATTTTGTCGGTTTAATACAGTGAAGTCTCCCTTTAGTTGAACAACTGGCACATTTCACAGGTTTACTTTCTCCACCTAAAGCTGGAAACACACTGGGCGAATCAATCGCCGCCGAAATTCTCCTAGGGTGTTCAGAGTCCCGATGCTGAATTTGTATTTACCCAAATGATTCGCTCTAATCAAACGCGTTTGATATTTTTGGCTGTATTTTTATTCAACGCATTTATATTCACCTAATGTGTCCAGTGGCAATCCATGGTAATTTAAAATTAAAATGAAGTAAATGGGTTCAGCAATCAGTGATAAAAATTGCATATTTGTTCAAAGGTGTCCACCATGAACCCTGATAAAACATAGAATGAATGAATTTTGCATCATTCATTGTCCTTGAAATTACTAGGTCACTACGTACATACAAATGGCGAGCTTAAAAAGAGCAAACCTTTTTAAGGCTCACTTTTTCTTTTGTTTATTCTTCACCAATATTTCTTTGTCAAACACAACTATTTTTCCTGATTATAAGAGCATTAGAAATATGTGTAATGGTATTAATACTGACATGTATCTAAGAGGAGGAAAACCCATCATATTTGATCTTAGGTGTTATGTCCCATTAAAATGACTTACCCGATAACTGAAGATTTTATTCTTTCTAATATTATGGATGTATTTCTGTTAGTTAGACGCTTAGTTAATTTCTGCTCTATTTCACTTATTTCATTTTTTAATGTTGATACATCTTCTTTTAACTGACCATTCTCTTTCTATAAATTATATAATTACAACAACTATAAAGCTTGTCGACTCTCAACCATATTCCAATAACTCAATTTCCTTTCTCCCCAAATTTAAAGATATTTGAGAGGTAACATGCTACTGATTTAAGTATGCTCGTACCATAAATAACATTTTGTATAAATTAGAATTAATTTGAATGAGCTCAACATTTGATATAAAAGCACAAAATTCAAATGAAGAATAAATGTAAAATTTGACTATAAATTAAATTATAAACAGGAAGAAAATCTAATGAAAGTCTACTGAAACATACTATGAATATGATAAAAAATATCTTTGTTTGTTAAACACTATTAAAAATATAACAATCAGACAAAACCTCTAAAACATTGACATCAGGGGCCGATGTCCAATTCGTCCAAAAAAACTTTTTCTGCTGAACATTATATGCTATTGGACCGGCCATAGAGCAATGATGATCATGTATGTGGCCGGTGGCTTTAACGGGCCGGCATGCCATCACTGGAGTCTGGAATGGGCTGGTATAATAGACTTTCTGGGCCGGGTGTGCTGGGTGTGGGCCGGGTGTGCTGGGTGTGGGCCGGAATTCAGAATCCTGCAAGTGCAATGGGAATTCCGAATTTCATCCGAAAATTTCAGCGGATTCACCCGAATAATAACTCAAAAGGTCGGGTGTTCGATCCCTGCATTGGCCGAGAAAGTTCATCCAGATTTTCCGACATGGTTTCCCCATGTCAGTGGTGCAGAACAGAGGGTCTGACAAGGACAGCTGTCTAGTCCTTCGGATGAGACGAAAAACCGAGGTCCCGTGTATACATTGGAATGCACGTAAAAGATCCCTTGGCAGTTGGAATTCGAGATAAGAGTAGGCAATAGTGCCGCTGCCCGGGCAAAATTTCCCTCATAGCACACTGTATGGCGTATGCCCATCTTCATTAGCCCAGTATAGGAGCAGAACAGTAGGATGTTAAACCCCATTTCATTTCATTTCATTCAGTAACTAAAAAAAATAATTCAATTTTAAGGCCTCAGCAAAATTTGATGATAGCTGGTCTGCTGGCTGAATATGAGTGCGAGACGCATTCCTGAGGCTGGTGTTAAACATTCCTTGACATTTTTATTAACTCGTTATTTTCAGAGATGAAATTACAGAAGACGATACAATGATAATACGTTAATTAATAATATGATGATATGATAATTTCACACGTTGATGGTTGTAAATTACTTGCAGGTCAGAGTTTTGGCCTAAATTAATCGATTCATGAGATATATTATTTGACAGAGATTATAATGAGATATGCCACCAAATCGCATATTTGGGGTTCATTTTTCAAAATATTCCGGGCTCCGCGGACAGTAAAATCGGCCGGTTCCCAGCCCCAATCCGCCCCTGACTGACATATGAATTGTACATATATACATACTTTAATTTGAAAGTGAACAGGACAATATTATATTGGAGGATAAATGAATAGAGAGTAATAATATACCTCTAATTTTAATACAGTCTGACCGTATTGACCATTTATAGCATTGAGATGACGTTCAGCTTCAGCTTTACCATATACGTCACCAAATTTATTGATAAATTCTTGTCGTAAGTGACGGTTTTCAATACGTAAAGCTTCCACCTGAGCATTGGACACCTACGATAAGGTTAAAATAACAAATATACAACATCTACAATGTTAGTTGGTTAAATTACATCTATTTCTATAGGATTTTATTTCATTTAGGAGACAATAAATTGATCATGCTCCATTAGTTTTAATTATCATCAAATAATTAATAGATGCTAATTATAATAAATTTTTTGATTGGCTAACCATATAATGCTGTAAGAGGAAGAAGTTTGTGCAGACAAAGACTTTGTTTTTTTTTAATATTATCTAAACAATTAGTCACACCCACATACTGGGTCACCCTAAAATTTGAACCAGGGAAATTTAGTCATGTATCCTGATTATAATGTTAAGAATTTGCAAAATATTAATTTATTATTTAAAAAAAAAAAAAAAAAAAAAATAAAAAATTAGCATCAATAAATCACATTATTTCTACCTGTAATTCTACTACTTTCTTTTCACCAATTTCTGTTTCCCCTCTTAACTGTTTCTCCATGTCAGATGTTTTTTCACTCAGTGCTGCCATGGTAACATCCCGCTGATGTAATTCTGTTGTAAGTTTAGACAGACGTAACCTCATTCCACTTAACTCAGCTTTATGATTTCCCTCCACAGAATTAGCATGTTCTTGAAGCTAAAATAAAAACAGATTTGTAAAACATTATGATTTGTTTCTGATAAGAAGTTAACCTTGATGTCCTCCATATAGTTGGTCAAAAGTTAAGAGTTAATAATTCCAGGGACCGTACACAGATTTTTGTCAAAAATTTTTTTTTTTATAAATGATATTTTTCAATCAAATTTCATGATGCTTTTATCGAATTTTATATTTTTATATTATTTTTATCACATTTCATGACTTTTTATGTTTTTATCATTATCAAACAATATGTTTTTTTTTTATATAACTGCACTGACAGTAAATAACTTATCTCCGGTCCATGAAGTGGTGTTCAGCCAGTGTTATGCGGATAAGAATGTCCCACCAGTACCACTGGTGGTATTAAGGGTTGCAGTCATCTTCTCCTATGTTCAGATACCCACATAACATTGACTGAACACTGTCAAATAGAAAATGAAAGAGAGCAGCAAGCTGGGGGTAATAAAATGCCTGGCTGGATGATTTTCTTGTTCACATTCAGATTTATTAGTATAGAAATTTATGATTGGGAGTAGCAATTTTTGGTTAATTTTATGTTTTGAAAAATTCTTCTAATTTTTTGACAATTTCATGAGAAATAGTGAAATTTTATAATTTTTTATAATATTTTTCCATTTTATGAAAATATAAATGTTTTTATATTGTACGGTTCCTGTAATTCAAAGCAGGTAGTAATAAGACTCCTTCATCAACATCCTGCGCTCTTGCACATGTTTTGGAAGGTATAGGGATAAACAATCTCTATGTTTTTTGTACTCAACCAAATATTAGTAGTGTACATTTTATGGCAAATAGTATCCGGCATCGCAATTATGAAACCTGGTTATAATAGACATGTGAGTTAAAAATACAAACTATAACCACATTAATTTTTAGATTTAGAATAACACTCTCAAAGTAACAAAAGATGTATCAATGATGCAGCTTTATAAAGAAAATTGTTTAGAATTACCAGTAAAATAGATAGAGCAAGAAAAAAGCATCCAATATGAAAAAGTCATGGAAAGAGGTTGAAAAATGGACACCAAAAAAGTACATTTATTTATTCTATAATAAATTAAATTTGTTAACATTTTTGTCAAGAGAACCTTTATGTGCACTCTGTATATAAGACCTCAGTTTATTGTTCCATCCATAAAACAGACTGACTATTCTTGTTAGACCTGTTTATGCTACTCCAAACAAGTGGAAACTAGACGTGAAGAATCCTGAAGACTATTTTTGGCTCATGGCAGTATTTGAACCCAGGACATTCTGGTTATGTGTCATGTTTCCTAACCACCCACACAAGTGGCCACAATCTCTTGTGAAATGATATTTAAAAATTTGCCTTTCTCATCAACTTCATATTGTCCATCTTATTTTCAATGCATTTGTAAACCATTTTTATATACGGCACATTAAAATCCAGTTCACGCTATGTATTTATATAAAATTCTTAAGTCAACTGTCTTAATGTCTTCCAATATTATAGATTTACAAATCTATGGAATAGTTTTTCTGACAGAATGGGGGCAATATCTGCAAAAATACCAACAATTTAATTTGTGATAGTTAATATCTCATGGCTAATAAAACTCCAGGGTCACATGCAGAACCAGCAAATATACTACTAGAGTTACCACTTTACAAATGATCAATGTGAAAATGATATAGGTTGGAAAAGAAAAAATAAATAAATGATAGTAGGCATGTACCACACAAAGGATTAGAAACCTTTCCTTGATGAAAATAAACAACACAGTCTCTAAACTATATAATATCCATGTACAATAAATATTACATTACTCTCTGATTTTGAAAACCAAATAAAGTTAGTGTGACTATATACTACTGACGTTATCTGGTTGATAAAATTAGAGAGTAATACTATTGGTGTTTTCATTAGTGATTATTGTATACATCAATGAATGAGTTTTAAATAATATTTGATACACTGTGTGGGTTGTGGCTATGTGATAGATTTATATAAAATTTCAATTCATGGGCAGTAATGAACACTATAATAATTGCACAGGGCTCTATACGGACAAAAGTAGGGAATTATACTATAGTAATAATTATACCTGATTATACTCCTAGAGACAACAGAAAAAAAAAGATATAAATATGATTACATTGTGTATAAGTTTTATATGTGGAACAAAAGCATCAGATGGAACACCTTTCTTTTAGTTTTAGAACGAGTGACAAGGGTTAACTCAAGAGAGAGAGAGAGAGAGAGAGAAATGGGGTTTAACGTCCACTCGACACAAACTAGGTCATTTCGGGACTAACACATGGTTCAATTTTATTTCAATAATTCGCTTGCGCGTAGGGGTCTTTAGCAGTGGGAGGAAACCGGAGGACCCGGAGAAAACCTACAAGGTTGGACAGGCAACCCTCTTCCTTGTCACGTACAACCGGGGAATCGAAACCCCGCCAGTTGACTCAATGACAGACCGTATGATACTGCGCATGCGTGCTAACCATTCGGCCATCCAACCCCCAGGGTTAACTCAAACACACATTCTTCACTGACTAGTGTGAGTAACTGTTTGTGTACAAAGTATCCACTGGTTTCTTCTCATGTTATTTCTGCTTCCACCTTTTCAATTACAAATAATTGCTATTACATACAGTAGAGATTTGAATTCCCCACCCAAAGTTTGACAGATTTCAAGCTCAATCAAAGAACATTTTAGTCATGAAAATGACAATCACAGAAAATAAAACTTACCCTAGAAATTTCATCAGTTAATTTATGAATTTCTGTTTGTTTTAAGTATTCCAATTCTTCTTCCTTAAATATACAAATACCGGTACATCGATTTTTCTTATAATCCCTGACAACAAAATGTTCTACAACTTGTCATAGATTTTAAATTTGCTGAAACTTTTATCAGTCATATAAAAAAATTTATGAAAGGTTGAAACTGTTCTTATATATAATACGACTTATTAATTTTGTGACACAGTAATAGTAAGTGCAGGGGGACTGCACTACATGCAAACTAAAGTAGTTACAGTATCCATTTCTCTTTACTCATTATTGACTTTGTGGCACTAGAAGAATTATTTGTTGTTCTTAATCAGTCTTTATTCATACTAACTGTTAAATCTACATATTATTAATTGAGCAATTCTAACAATTTAGGAGAAAAACTCTATTGGTCAAAGGGCTTAAAGATGGATTATGTAAGATTTAGATAAAGAGCTATTATAGTTCAAAAGTAGATAATAAGAAATTTATTTTTTGAAAATTCCACTCAAATTACTTTATTCTGAGTAAAGATATGAGTGTTTGAAGTCTTAATAGGATAATCTCGACTGTTGAGTACCCCTGCTATATGATAATAAATAATGTCTCAATTATACATTTTATAGTTAAATTTTAAATGGCGAGAGGGTTCTAATCCTTTAAATATCTAAGCCATCCGACGGCATAGACAGTTGATTATGCTTGTCATGTTAATAAATGACCATATAATAATTTATATAACATTTGATGCTAGAAACAAGACATGCTATAAAGATTTAGCTCTTATGTAATGTATATCTAACTGATATACATATTCTGTTAGTGGGATCTATAAAAAGTGATGTTCCAACTTTCTAAGATCATGGAAAAGTCCTTACCCTTTGTTGTAGTTGTGTAGATATTTCTTCATTATTTAATACAAGTTGTTGATATTTATCTTCTACATTACTTAATTCAAATCTAATCTTCTTCTCTAACTTCTTATACGATCTGAATAAAATTTATGTCAGCATCTCTTATTGTACAGATAATTTTAAGCTTTGACAAGGAATCGCTGCCAATCCAAAACGGTTTTTCAATGTGACAAACGTCAATGATTAGTAATAAAGATAGTTTGCCAGGAAACAAAACATTCGCTTGTCATTGTTAGATTGGGAATCTCTAGATAATTAAAAACAAAATGATATTGATAAGGTGTTGACAAGATTCTATGACATAATCAATGAGTAATTATTATAAATTGTTGAAATTTGATAGGATTCTTTGATTACAGTATTTCCCAAAATTCATATAAATTTCAAGCAGATCAGATGATAACTTCGTTGACAGAGCGTTACATACATAGTCTGTAGAGTGTTTACAAGAAATTGTGCACAGCAGACAGACGGAAAGGGGCATCAGCAGTGTACAACCACTTTTCAATGTGGGCATATAAAATAATAATAAAAGTGCTGAAGACTGTAAGATGTAGGTTTGCTCATGTATAAAATATTTGATGGGCCAGATGACAAACTTTTCAAATAAATCAGTAATACCTGATTTCCTCCTTGGCATCTGCGTATGATTGCTTTAATAAAGCAACTTGTTCTGATTCTGCATTACGGTTACTTTTTCCAATATTACTGTAAGCAGATGCAATATTATTAATAAATAATAAGGAGATTAATAGTACAGACGTTAGATCTGTGACCACATAGTTGCATTTTTGCTCCTTACTTCTGCTAACTGTCAAATCCAATATGATCTGTCAGTTTATCATCTACCCTACATTTGAGATTATAACAGATTGATCTGTATTAGAAAGTCTGATACTAATAGATGATATACATTCATTATAAAATAGTTTACTACACCGGACGGACGACGGAAATAATAACCACATGCCAAAGACTATAAAATTTAAAGATTATGCCCTAGGTTGAAAGGCCACATGTTTAGACCTGAGGCCATAATATTTTAACTGCAATATGTACATAGCAGATCTGTTTATAATATGTTTTTTTATTCCTTGTATGAGGAGAGCGGTGATATAGGCTATGCCTGTTCCCTGATCCGTTTTCATCCAACTGAAATAAAATATTGTTTACACAAAACTTTCAAAGTAATTAATTAATTTGCCATTATCCATTACTTTGAAAGCTATTAATTACTATGATCCATTTTTACATAATTAAAAGATAACTGTCTGGATTGAAGGGTAGCATTTATAAATAGCACTCAGCAATTTACAATTTTGGGATAATGAAATGTATGTCCCAGAACTACTAGAACTGGAAAACGATGTTATAATTAACTGTATTTGTTTTGTATTTTACATTAATAGATAAGAAAGTTGGAACAACTATGTATTGAAATATGGAACATAAAATAAAAAATAGACAGAGATTGAATATATTGATCAAGTGTATTATTTACCGTATAATTTCATCTTTAGCACCAATAGTTTGTTCTAATCTAGCTACGTCTTTAGCATACTGACTTGTATCTTCTTCTGTCACCCTTAATAAATCAGTTTTACTCTGAACTTCTGACACCATCTCATTGTTCTCACCCTCAAGTCTCTTTAAGAATATTAATAAAATGTGACAGAATTTACAAGAGAGAGAGAAATCTGCTCAACACTAGGTTTTTCGACAGTTGGAGGAAACCCATGATGTTTAATCAGGCAACCATACTCCATGTCACTTGCAAGTTTGGGATCAAAGTCATACTACTTGTCTTAATGACAGACCATGAAATCTAAAGAGCATGCACTAGACCACTATCACTGAAGTTGTTAGAATTTCTAAATCAAAATGTATATTTGACAACGTGAAAAGCTGGGTAATCACAAATTTGCATCTTCAATAAATCTTTCATGCAACGGTAACTCACCCTTATTGTTACATTAGCTCTTCGTAATTCTTCTAATAATTTCTCATTATCAGACATTCCTCGTTTGTGACTATTTAAAGCCTCATCTAAAGCCGACTTTAATTTTTCAATCTTTTCTTTCTAAAATATAAAGGCACATAACTCAATATTCCAAGTACCATGAACTGTTACAATTTCTAAATTTGAAAATATCCATATTCAATAGTTAGAATGATTAAAGGCTGATTAATGACAAACTTTAACTTTTAAAGACATATTTCCTTGAGAATCCATGACCATGGTTTTGAAAATATATTCAAACTATTCAGAAAATTATATTTAGTATTTAATAAATTTAAAGGGAAAAGGAAAGAGATGGGCTTACTGTCTCTCAAAAAACAATACATGTGTACTTCAATCATTTTAATATGGCCATTTTCATTTTCTATGGAACAGATTTTGGCCAACATCTTGCCTACTCATCTTTGAATGCTAGTGGTACTACTAATTCTTACACATCAGAAAGGAATATTTCCAGGAGGATTTCATCTGGAAATTACCTTTGAATTCAAACAGTTGCATGATTTTACATCCTATCTGGATGCCTATAGCCAAGGAGAAGATCAAATACAAAACAATAATATACCTGAACAGTAAGAACTGTTTTATAACGATGTAATTGACTTTCAAGTTGAGCTATTTTACTCTTTAAATTTAATTCTGTGTTATCCTGCATTTGACGTCTACGATCAAGTTGTGATTGGTATGTTTCTGACTGTTGCTATTAAAAGTAAAATAGACAATAGTATAAGAATAAAGTCAGACTTGAATACAGCCAGCCATCAAGAGGGAGGGAGAGGGAGCAATGGTGTTTAACGTGCACTCGACACAAACTAGGTAATTTCGGGACTAACTTATGGTTCAATTTTTTATTTCAATAATTTGCTTGTGTGTAGAGGTCTTTAGCAGTGGAAGGAAACTGGAGGAAATAGAAAAGCCATCAGGATGGACAGGCGACCCTATTCATTGTCACGTGCAAGCGGGGGAACCGAAACCATGCCACTTGATTCAATGACAGACCTTATGATCCATGCGCACACATTAACAATTCGGCCACCTACCCCCCACCCATCATGAATTATATAGAAAACTTTAAAGAATATGAATGAGAAGTCAATACTCTCTACAAAATCCCAGTAAATATATCGATTATTTTTCAACAGATTTTGATAAATTCATGGAGTGGTTTTTGTTTGTTAATATTTACCTGAATAAAATCACATTTTTCAGATAAACCTTTGTTCTTGACTTCTAATGTTTCTACTTGCTTATTTAAATTTCGTCTCTCCATTTCCAAATCTTTGTTTTTATGATGCAGTTCCTGATTAGAAATATAAAACAAATCATTATGTTTTAATATACAAAATTTCTGAAATCGTTCAATACGTATAAAAAGTTATCAATGATCGATGTGGGAAATTTTGGATATTTAAATATTCAATAAATGATATCAACATTATGTCAATATACTATGTCTCAACAACACTTCAAGTCAAATCAGCATATCAAGATATCAGTGGTGCATTTTCATTGTGACTCAGTATATTAATTTATGTGTTAACAACTTTTTAATTGGTGTCATTCATAAGACAAAGGCAATATATATTCAAGAAGACCTGGAATTTTTATTAAATATCAAGGATCAATTTGAAAAGAAAAAAACAAATACATGTACGTTGATCGAATCAGACTTTTTAGTAGTGTTATAAATAAATATCATCACCTACGATTGTATTTTGTATTGAGTGTTTAATATAGAGGGAAAATATAGTGCTTTTTTTTGTTGGTATTATTTGCAAATAAAAGGTTTAGATAAATACTGCTGTATATTGTGATAAATTGAAAATAGAACTTAGAAGTCAATATAACTAGTAATAATATTATTAGTTTCACGTTTTTTATTGAAAAACCTAAATAAACCGAATGGAGAATAATCATTTGTTGAATAATTATAATTGGTACTGGAATACTGTTTAAAATTTCCACTGTACCTCATTTTTTTCTTGAAGCCTTTTAAGTTCAAAAGAATTGTCCTGTTCTGACACTAACATATCTTTGTGTCTTTCTATTTCTTTTGTCTGTTTGCTGTGCCTTCTGTGTAATTTATCATACTCACGTTTCATTTTCTGCACCTAATATAGAAAAAATTCAATTTTTAGGATTGGTTCTTATGACCATGTAACCTATCCTGCCTTCTAGTTTTTAATTTGGCAGAGCAATATTGTGACAGCATGTCTTTTAGAGCCTAGATGAATGGTCTAGTTTTTCTTATGATTTTCAACTTTTCAACTTCAAATGGCAATATTAAGCTGAATAATTATTACAAATCAAAAAAAAGTACATGAATGAATACCCATTTTGTAATCACATTACTCTATACGTTGCAAGTTAGATAGATGATTAAATCATCTGTTGATACTTACTAATTAACATGTTTTTAATAAATTTGAGTTCCATCATGGACCCTATATTCTAAGAATTTATCTCTGTATTCTGAAGATTAGGCCATCAACTACATGAAGAAGCATAAAGTGTGCCATAGCTCTAAGTGGGCAATGTCATACTATTAAAAGAGCAGTATTACAACTATGGACAAATAACTATCATATCATGTATGAAAACAATATCTATAAAAATATAACTACATAATATAGTGTTTTTACATAGATCTATAGGGGTATTATGTGGAAAATATTAAATGTATCAAGATAAATCCTACCTCAGAGCGCAATTTTGCTAACTGCTCTTCATATTCTGTGACTATTTCTTTTTGTGTTTTATTTCCACCTTCCAGTTGACTTCTTAATTCTTCTGCCTAAATTTAAAATAAAACACAAAACATAAACAGCAAATATAGACTTTCAGACTATACACAATATCAAAAAGTAGTCTTAACAAAAAGCATACTGGTAATTCATATCAACCAATTCCATTCTCTTGATTTCATGCCACAATCTTTATTTCTCATCAAGACCAAAGACGGTATTTAACCTACATTTATTTGCTTCAATCATCTAAATTACTATGTAAAGAAGTGCACGAAAAAATATATATTTAGCAAAGAGGTGTTAATTATGTATTTTATGTTGTACTTTATCAGCATTTAAACCATTTGAGCTTTTTAACCAATCAAATAGTCTGTATCGGTATATAGTGCTACATACATGTATTGTGGTGAAGCATGATTCTCTGTGGTTTAGAGGTTGCAACCACTGTCTGGTATACAAGTTACTCTTACTGGCAGACCTTAGAAATATGATAGAAAGTAGCCTATGCGTTAAAGTAGTGTCAATTTCTGAATCTTTTAATTTTTTTATCATACTTAAAGGAGCTAAATCGCTAATATTTGGGATCTAGAAATTGACAAAAATGGGTCGCAATGCATATAATAATGTAATATGAATGTATATAAACTGATTTACATTCAATTGTTTCTGTTTTTACTGTAATTTCTAATCAGTTATGTTCGGCAAAATAAGCCAGAAGTCTCATGTGAATAGCAATCTTTAGCATCTGGATTTTCCAGTCTACACCGATGGCATTTATTGCGCATGCTCTCCAGATAAGAATATAGCATCACCATTTGACGTGACTTGTGGAATATGTCTAGCCCTGTTCTTTGAGTCCCTTGTTCCAAATGGCGCTGAAACACATTATGGTACACGATTCGTGTACCAATGGTAAAATGTTTATTTTGTCTTGAATATTGGATATCAGAAGCCCATCTTTTCCCTGTAAGACCAATGTTGATTTGAATTGACAAATAATTTATGTTTTCAATGTCGATGATTTTTGATGATATTGAGTTAGAGACTTAGCTACTTTAATCTCAGCATGATGTAAAAACTGTCTTCCATCCATGATTTTGCATATTTTCCACTTCAAAATTAATAATTACCTCTGGCTCATCTGACACTTCTATTGAAAAATAGCTAAAAACCTAAACAATTATTTAACTGAGCACTGTGACTGCCTTAATATAATACCTCTTTACTCTTTTGGTCAGCTGTGGCTTTCTGTAGTCGTAATTCTTTTTCTTTCATATCTAATCTTGACTGTACTTGCTCTAACTGTCTCTGCCAATCTTGTTTTTTACTATTTACCATAATATCTAACTGTTTCATTAATTCTTGTAGTTCATCTTGACAGGAAGACGTTAATGATGATCTAGGTAATCTGAAATATACATTCACATTAACTTGTAATACTTTAGCTGAAAAATGGGTTAGTTTTGTGTTACATCGAATCGATAACAGGAGGTCAAGTTTATTTAGTTATGATCTGATGTTTTCAGATCATAATCACTACCTTTCCAATCATAAACTTTTAAAATTTGAACTGTTGAAATTAACAAGCTGTTGAAAAATCAGCATCTGTTTAGAAATAAGAAAGGTTACTTTAAAGCAAAAATCATTCAGCTGTATATGCAATTCCTGCAGAGAAGCTATCAGTATTACATTACTAAAAAATATTACATATTAAAATGCTAAAATTGCAGATTTTTTTTTTAAACATCTATATTAAAGGAGTTGAACCCTGATGATTTTGGTAAAAATAAAGTAATGATTGGGTTGATCTGATGTGATAGTTCAGTTAGTGATATGACAAGCTCTATACAATTAGATATTTGTTTCGAGATATCAAACGGAAGTCAGCTCATTTACTATTTTTGGTTGATATTTTGGGGCCTTACATGTATTGGTTGACAATGGTATGACTAATGTCTAGGTATATATGTTATTAAGTTAATCGTTATCTTTTAATTCTGTTTTTAATTTCAAATCTATTAATATTCATTAATTCTTGGTTAGTCATTAGAGACAATTAATATGTCAGTCAATTTAAATTACGACAGACTGGCAAGTAAAGTTGTTCTGTTAAGCAGTCGTTGTTGTTTGCATTTTAGAGGAGAGCCCCAAAAAAGCTCCCCTCAATCAACAAATTGAAAAAATCGCTCCCCTAAAAAAGCTCTCCGAGTTTCGATAAGAGGAATGATTTAGAAATTAAGGAGAGTTATTTAGAAATTAAGGAGAGTGATCTGATTTTAAAGATACATTATGGGAGAATTTAATAGAGAGTTGGCCATTCTTGCTATAACAGTTCAAAAATAGATAACCAAAAAAGAATATATTGAACAAAGTTATCACCATTGTAATTTTTGACTAGAAATAGGAGTCAACTCTCTCTTCACCGTCTCCGAGAATGGCAGTTCGTTTGACAGACAGGCATTAACTCCACCTACATAATCTCGATTATCAAGTAACGTTTTCAATGGCTGTGGTACACCTAGCACATTTATTTTTACTACAAATTAAAAATAAGACTTTTAATATATAGATAAGAAGCGAAAGTTTGAAAGGAATGGATCAAATCAATGAGGCATAATTATAGCCGACTTCTTGTTAGCCTACGTGTACTCTTGTTGTACTGTAACTGGTAGGCCTACGTAACTCCCGAAGCAGACAAACAGTGAATGGGTGATCCAATGGGGCTGCAATTCAACTGGGGTGATGTTAGCGATGTTTATCAATTTCCATAATTTTTCTGTAAACGCAAGTGACAAAAGAGCATATAATACCGATATCCAAACTCTCATTTTAACCACAACTAAAAATAATATCAAGGCCCTTTGACAACACACGTCGACAGTGTTTATGGTGGAGAAAGCGGGTAGATTAAACAAAACTGTCTATTCTTGTTGATTCTGGTACATGTATGTAGCTAAGCAAGATAAATTGTAAACATAATTTGAAGAAGAAAGGATGGATATCAACTTTATTCTTCCATCAGCAGTAGTAGGAGCAATGTCTCAAACAGGATAGGGGTTCTATAGACATCAGCTTTAAATGGAGCTTCTCAGAAATTTCATTACCCAGCTTGGAAAGGAAATATCATTGGCAAAAGTCTGTACCGGTACATGTTTTTCATAGATAGGCTTAGAATTTTTTAGCCAGCCTTCATATTATAAACATACATTCTACAGTAGATATCGCTTGCGTTTACATGAATTTGATTGGTCAGTTGAAAAGGAACTACTTTTTTTTATTTTCAAAGAACAGTTCATTTCTTATTAAAAGTAACTTTTTTTTTAATTACCAGTGGCTGCCAGACAGGATACGCCCACATTTACGAGAGATGGATAGAGAACAAGCTAAAAAGAAAGTGATTTTTCCTACAATCAGAGGACATAATTCAGGAAGTTACGGTCCGATATGCGCCAATATCGAAAGGAACCGAGATCTTTGGGTTATAAACTTACATTTCAAATTTCAACAAAATCGGATAAAAACTGTGACCTCTATAGGGTCCACAACCTTGATATACCATATTTTTACGCTATTTGAGAACGAACAGCGGCCATTTTGTCTGTCAATTTTGGGCCGATTTTCACGAAAATTCGAACTCAGCCATCCTTAGGGTGTAACGGTGATATAATACGTTTTTTTAAATCGGATAAAAATTATGACCTCTATAGGGTCCACAAGCTAAAAACGTGATTTTTCGTACAATCAGGGGCCATAATTCAGGAAGTTACTGTCCGATATGCGCGAATATCGAAAGGAACCAACATCTTTGGGTTATAAACTTACATTTCAAGTTTCAACAAAATTGGATTAAAATTGTGACCTCTATAGGGTCCACAACCTTGATATACCATATTTTTACGCTATTTGAGAACGAAGGGCGGCCATTTTGTCTGTCAGTTTTGGGTCGATTTTCACGAAATTCAAACTCAGTCGTCCTTAGGGTGTAACAGTGATATAATACGTTTTTTTAAATCGGATAAAAATTATGACCTCTATAGGGTCCACAAGCTAAAAACGTGATTTTTCGTACAATCAGGGGCCATAATTCAGGAAGTTACAGTCCGATATGCGCGAATATCGAAAGGAACCAACATCTTTGGGTTATAAACTTACATTTCAAGTTTCAACAAAATTGGATTAAAATTGTGACCTCTATAGGGTCCACAACCTTGATATACCATATTTTTACGCTATTTGAGAACGAAGGGCGGCCATTTTGTCTGTCAGTTTTGGGTCGATTTTCACGAAATTCAAACTCAGTCGTCCTTAGGGTGTAACAGTGATATAATAATACGTTTTTTTAAATCGGATAAAATTATGACCTCTATAGCGTCCACAAGCTAAAAACGTGATTTTTCGTACAATCAGGGGCCATAATTCAGGAAGTTATGTTCCGATATGCGCAAATATCGAAAGGAACCGAGATCTTTGGGTTATATAAGCATACATTACAAGTTTAAACCAAATCGGATAAAAATTGTGACACCTACAGTGTTCACAAGATTAAAACGTGATTTTTCGTACAATCAGGGCCCATAATCCATGACGTTACAGTCCAATACATGCCAATATCGAAAGGAACCGAGATCTTAGGGTGATAAACCTATATTTCAAGTTTCGTTGAAATCGGATAAAAATTGTGACCTGTAGACTGTTCACAAACAATTGTGGACGGACAGGGGCGACGACAATATACGTCCACATGAAAATGTGGGCGTATAAAAAATGAACTATTGTTATTCAATTGACCTTGATGGGTCAATATAAAGGTATTTGCAATGGTTGAATTGTTGTCAAAAAATGATGTACCACTACGCTGTAATGTTCAGTGAAAGTGAAATCTACAGCAAAGAATTATATTTATCTATTTGTGCATGTAAGAAGGGATTGGGTGATAAATAAAATCTCCTACTCGTCTTTTTTGATATAAAAAAATATCAACACTCGTTGATAAAGTATTAAAAACTCGGCAGAGCCTCGTTTTTTGTTACTTTATTAACTTGTGTTGATATTTTTTGATATCAAAAAAGACAGGTTGGAGATTCTCTATTTACCTACATTGTAAGGCACTTCCTCAACAAGGCCAGCTTTGATATCACTTTACAGTTTACATCTAATCTTAACAACATTTATGAGATGTTGGATGACTTTAGGATACTCACACTGTACTAATTATCCATCAGTGGTAAGATAAAATATTATAAACACAATAAACATGACCAGCTTACTTATTACTCTTCTGAAGTTCGGTCCACAAACTTGAAAGTTTATCCATTTTGGTTACTAAAATGTTGACAGAACGATCTTCCTTTCCTTCACCAGCATGGAATCTATCAAAAATAATTATGGAAAAAATTTAATGAAAATATTTCCAAAAACATCAAATGAGGCAAATAAATGTAATTCTGGGATGTTGACTTGCTGCACTACCGGTACTCACGTTAATGTCCTGTTTCGATTTTCTTCAGCTAGTTCAAAACTGTACGGTAATATATCTGACAGACTTGCCATTATATCAAAACCATAATCAGTCATATTCATTTAATTCATTATCTATAACAACATGAATGAAGGTAAGCTTAAGTCAAAATGTAATACAGTTTTCAAATGAACCCCACTGGGTATAACATACTAAAATGTATGTCACAGTTGTTATTGATAAATGTGTATCTCCTCTACCATGCATGACTTCATCATGATTCATTTTTAATTGGCAGCCATTTTAATCAATCCAGACAATACTGATCCATGCTACAGTAACCATTTCCACTATGTCTAGGGTAGTTAGTTATGTAGGTTAACATACCTTTAGTAAACAGATCAATGCCCAACAAGATTAAAATTTAATTATTCATTAGTTGGACCTTTATTAATTACTTTTCAATAATGACAACGTTGTTACAGAATTTTAGTCCAGATTTGTTGTGTTTTTTTATGATAGAAATATGTTTTCTTGACTAAAATGTATATTTAAGTAAAACAGCATGTTGACTGTAGTCAGTGACACTGTTCTTACTACGTAGAAACTGGTTAGAATTTGTTTGAATTAATGACAATTTGAATAGATACTATAGGCCTGTTGCCATTATTGGCCTACAACGATTACGATCTTTAAGTCATAAAATAATTTTATTTAACTTTAAGCGGTTAATTCATAAAACAACAGAATTTTGGCCTTTCCTTTAATTAGAATTTATCCCCGAATCATTGCAGTATAAGACAACCAGTCTTAAAGACTGTATTAGACTCGGCGAACCACCACTTTAAGGAAATGTGCAAGATTGAACACGTTCGTTATTTGAAATTTCCGCCTGGTTTGTTGGATGATGTTTGTTGACGTTGTTATTATGAGTCTTAGCCAAGAAATAATCAAAGAAATATACCTGACTGGAAATTAAACTTTTATTTAATTCGATAACATAATGTAACATATATATTTACGGCTCTAGTCATTATTTATTGATTTTAAATAACTTCCAATTTTGTTTCCAGTGTAAACACGCGATATTTGGTCCGTTTCCGGTTAAGTCGTTTACAACATCTGTCGTTGTACGGTGTATTTCCGCAAAATAATGTCGTCTGCTCGTGTATTTAGTTCTCAATAGCTAGCAAATTTACCTTACCGTAGGCCCTACTACTAAAATATAAGTTCTTTCATTGTTAATAGGTCTAATGAGTAATTAAGTAAAGTGTCAACTTGTAAATTAACCGAAACCGCGAATGTCGTTATTGTGACTTTGTTGGGTTTTTATTAATATTATAGTACCCGGAAGGGCTAGTATAGTAATAATAATAAATAAAATGTCAATTAAAGGAGCTAAATCGCTAATATTTGGGACCTAGAAATTGACCCAAATTGGTCGAAACACATATAATAATGTAATCTGATTGTATATAAACTGATTTACATTCAATTGTTTCCTTTTTGACTCTAATTTCAAATCAGTTATGTCCAGTCCCCAGAGAAATACGGTACTATTTCAGTAACGTACCTCTACCAGTTCCTGTGATCGTAGAGACTTGAAATTTTCAGGGGGTGTTCACGGGAACTAGCCATGACCTCACACCAAATTTCAGCCAATAACTTTTTATTTTACCGTAGTTTAGCTTCTATAAGAGATAAGTTTATCCGATTTTGACGCCATTTTGTTTGTTGACTATTTAGGCTCGAATGACGTCATATGTGGATTGTGGGTTAGGGTAAGGGCTAGGACCTGTAGATTTCTTCATAGTTTCAAGATGTAGACAGGGCTAGCCCTAACCCTAACCCTGTCTTGTTATTCGGGTCTAAACAGCCAACAAACAAAATGGCGTCAAAATCGGATAAACTTTCTCTCGTTATAAGCTAAACTACGGTAAAATAAAAAGTTATTGACAGATTCGGCTGAAATTTGGTGTGAGGTCATGGCTAGGCCCCATGAATACCACCTGAAAATTTCAAGTCTCTACGATCATGGGAACTGGTAGAGGTACGTTACTGAACAGCTTGTGTCTCAACCCTATAGCAATTTCTAGCGTATGGTTATTCCAGTCTATTAAGCAGGCTCTCCTGTTGAATATGTCTAGCCTCGTTCTTTCTGGTCACTTGTTGCAAATGACGCTAAAACGCACTATGGTACACGATTCGTGTACCAATGGTAAAATGTTTCGTTTGTCTTAAATATTGGATATCAGAAGCCTGCCTTTTCCTGGTAAGATCACAACATCAATGTTGATTTGAATTGACAAATAATTCGTATTTTCAACGTGTAAGATTTTGGATGATATTGAGTTAGAGACTTAGCCACTTTAAAGTAGCTAGGCTAATTCTCTAATTACTCAGTATCATCAAAACTACAAAAGTCTTCAACATTGAAAACACGAATTATTGGTCAATTTAAATCAACATTAATGTTGTGATCTTACCGGGAAAAGATGGGCTTCTGATGTCCAATATTTAAGACAAAATAAACATTTTACATGAATTTTTACACCCGTGTATCACCATATTTAGTATTTGTAACAAAGGGACTCGAAGAATGAGGCTAGACATATTTCACTAGCCATGTTAAACAGTGACACCATATTCTTATAGGAGAGCATGCGCAATTTATACTATCGGTGTAGACTGGAATAACCAGACGCTAGAGATTGCCATTTGATCAAGACTTTTGGCATATTTCGCCGAACATAATTGATTAGAAATTACAGTAAAAACAGAAGCGAATGAATGTAAACCAGTTAATATACATTCATATTACTACTGGGTCCCAAATATTAGCGATTTAGCTCCTTTTTTAAACTTGTAAATTAAACGATAGGCCTATTACAGCGAATGTCTTTATTGTGACTTTGTTGGGTTTATTTCTTTCAGGTTGGTTAAACTTTAGCTTGCAATTGAGACTATATAGTCATATATGACTGTAGGGTTTGGCTGGGCGGCATAGGCGTACGATCTGGGGGGGCAGCCGCCCCCCCCCCCATTTTGGGCACCAAATGCTGGGAAAATTTCGGCACACAATTGTACTTTGTAAAAGTTGTATAAAAAAAATATTGTGTTCTTGAATGTGTCCAATTTAACAGCGAATTTATTATTATTATGTAACATACTAAGAACCTAGCTACATTTTTTGGGCACCAACCACCACCGCCCCCCCCCCCCAGTCAAAAATTTCCCCGTACGCCTATGCTGGGCAGTGAGCCCCAACAGCAACAGGATGAAATTAATCCTCCTGGCCCGGAACACCAGTTACCACTGCATAGGGCCTACACATGACTATGTAGTAGCAAGCTATATGAAGGAGATCCTGCTCCTCATTGAATTCCAACTGCCAAGGGTAGGCCTACTTTTATGTGCATGGCAATGTGTAGCAGTGTAGGCATACTCAGGACCTGGGTTTTCTGTCCGATCTGAATGACTATAGATGTTGTCCCTTGCCAGGCCCTCTGTCCTGCACTGCTGAAAAATCTTTTTAGGAACTTTCTCTGCTAACACTGGGAATGAACCCGAGACATCCTGGTTAGTGTGTCGGCACTTAACTGACTTAGCCACTGTGGCTCCCTACCAGCATTTGTACATGGATGACACAAAGACTATTTTATCCTATTACTAAAATGCTAATAATAAGTGCCACTACTGGCAATATTTCACCAACACACCTTCATTCAAGAGTCTTACAACTATTATGACTATGATACAGTATAAATTTCTTCATCTATAGTGTTTTTGTTGCACAGAATCTGGATGAAAAACAACAATTGTTGCATTGTGTTATTCTGGTTTGTATACATGCAACGTCTAATTCTGGGCCCCAATCGTTATTAATCTTATTGTTCTGGTGTCTTGGGCGTGAAAAAAGCCTATGACTGCCAATTCAAGTACAATCAATATGAAACTTGGCATGCTTGTTCCTCAGACAATTACACATCACACTAAAAACTAGTTATAGAATAACGATTAGTGGTTTATTAACATGCAACTTTTTGAAGATGATACTCTTGTCTTTAGCAAGCAAATGATAAAGACGAGAGTATAAATTAATAAACCAGCAATTGTTATTCCATAGTTTTTAGTGTGTTACTGTTCAATTACTAAATGCCACTAACAGACTTTGATTTTTTATATGACTTCCTCTGGTCCGGGTCCTTTGTATGCTTGTACTGTGAAAATAAGCTCCACTTTAAAGATAACAAAATATAAACTAGATTTTACATCATCGTATATTTACATGGTATAATTATACATTACACATTAAAAAATGATTTAATTTTTTTTTGTTGAAAAAGACAACATGACAAACTCTTTTTAGAATATTGTCTTTGGGTAGATGTAGTTACTTCACATGCCTTCTGTTCATTTTGAGATATTGCAATAGAGCAAATACAAATATATGGCTCTGCAATTTTTGGTTGCAATACTCTTCTGCCCTATAACAGATGATCTTTTATAAACAAAGCAGAAGATTAAAAATAAAAATCATGTCTATATAGCAAGTAGCACACTTATCTGCAAAATGGAACTCAGGGGCGGATCCGGAGAGGGAGTTTGGGGGTCCCCCCACTCAGCTACATAAAAAAAAATTGTAAAACAAAATGTTTTACACACAGGCACTTGAAGGGATTAAAATTTAAAATAATACTTCTTACTAATGCTTGACTATATATTATAGCACTTGAAGGGATTAAAATATAAATATTTTAACCCTTCAAGTGCCTGTGGTTTTATGACAAAAGTGTCACGGTCGCGTGCTTTATCCTTTATCATATGGTGGGATAGGATGGGCATTCAAAGTGGGAGATAATGATATAGACATATGTGATATCACAATTAAGCAGTGGACATATTAGCCGAATTATTCGACCGAATCAATCGGCGACAAATTTTATTTGGCCTAATGGGTGGACACACTAGGTGAATTCTTTGCCCATTTCACCAGGCGATTGCATCACCTTTCGCGTCACATGATCAAAAATGGCGGCAACCATGTCTTCAAACAATCACGTGACTTCTCGACAAGAGTGGATGATGAGTGGTAATTGGTTAATGAATTCTACAATTGGGTGAATGCTTCAGCGAAGCGGACAAACATATTTGATTTGGGCGAATCATTCGGCCGAATATAAATGCGGCAAATAGACAGTGGACACAATAGGCGAATTTCAACGGCAATTGATTCGGCCGAATCATTCGGCTATTGCGTCCACCGCTTTAATGCTTTGCATTCATCAAAAAACATCCATACCACTTATTCTCCCCATTATATTTTGAGTCATAATTGCGCAAAACTCTATTTTACTTTTAGGCTCTTGTCAAGTTATCTGTGCCCCAGCGTATTGGAAATAAATAAACAAATAGTTCATGTGGTGAATTTTCTTGATATTTTGGTGTTTGACACAGTCGCGGTCAGATTTTGTTTTTCTATATTTTGCTTTCTTAAAGATTTCTGTCAAAATCATGCAGAACTGATTTTATTGCATATCATAAAACTAAAACATAGTGTAGTAGGTACATGTACTTATGTAAAATCTCAGTTTCTGTGTTTTGTCAAAGTGATATCTGGTTACCCCAAAATGACGAAAGAGACCATGTAATTCCCAAAAATTTTCAAGGTCAGGGGGAGAGACACCCCCCCCGCCCCCCCCCGCCCAAAAAAAAGATACACTGTCCCAGGAATCTGGCGAACCCCCTCCTACAAAAATTCCTGGATCTGCCCCTAGAACTTAAATCATACTTATATATGGAACTTGCAGGAAGTAAAGTGCCAAAATCAATGCAGATTTAATTAAGTGATAATTATAACCATCTTGCAAAGATGTGTTCAAATTTTAAATTAAACATTAAATTTCATATTGTTTTCTATTATTCCTATTAAATTGAAATATATGGAGATGAGAACACATACCAGTTAGCATTATAATCATACACCCACGAATTAAAGGTAAGGACATATAGTATGTAACATAATTTACATATTTTTGTTTAATAATATACAAAGTCAAAAAAGATTCCCTCTGAAATGCATTTTAGAACAACTGCCATTAAAGTGAATCCCTATCCCTTGGTCTTGCCAAAGGTTCTGAACAACAAAAAAGAAACAACAAATGAAAGATTGAGATACAAATCATTCTAGAAGTAAATAACAGACAAATTGCACCAAACATCTATAGCCCTTTCAAACGGAAATTAGTAGAGCTCACATGAATATTTGAATTTCAAATAGTTTTTCAAAGTTTACAGTTCATAGAACCAAAAATTTATCATTTCAACAGAAATTAATATTCTAATAGTATTCAAATAATGACTTAAGATTATTCAAATCAGCACTCATAATGTGAGCACTAGAAATTAACAATCAGATATTGTAATCAACAAAAAGCTTTGGGTATTTTCCAGCGATGGTGATATAATATGTAACTTTCAGATATTGTAATCAACAAAAGGCTTTGGATAACAATCAGAAATTGTTATCAACAAAAAAAACTTTGGGTATTTTCAAGTTGTGGTGATATAATATGTAACTTAATATGCAAATACTTAAATATGCACCCACTAGTAGCATTTTGAAGTGTCACTTACAAGTTTTCAGGGTCAATAACTAAGCAAGAATTAGAATTTATGCGCATTTTGATAGGATTTCTCCTTCAGACTAGAATAACAATCATGAAAAGGGGTGACAACAATATATAATTGAGCACATATATTTTAAAATTAAGAATGATTTTTTAAAAAAAATTGAAGGTCTAGAACTTCTATAGGCCCTATAAATTACAATTTTCTTGGTTGCACCAATGTACTAGGCTACTTTCCCTTTCATTTTGACTGCAAGCAATATTGGTCTTGACAAACTGGTACCTACACGTATACACTTTATGCGTATTTCCAGGGCCAGTTACATATGTTATAAAGGGGCCCTAAATTCTGAATAGTTGAGAGGTAAGATGGGGATTATTGAGTAGACACAATTGAGCACTCTATAAAAAAATTTGAACATATGTAAAGCATTTTTTATCTCTGTATGTAATATGAGACAAAATGTCAAATAGATAGCCTAATAATATCATTATATATACATCATACATAAAAATTATTTTCTTTAACATATTATTTTATATACTGAAATGGCTGGACCGCTTTGATTTGGGTCCAAAATAAAATAGTTGATTCTATTGGATTTAATGAGGTTTTTTTTAGGAGGACAAAATGGTGCCTTTGTATGTTTATAGATAAATCAAATGTAGAGATATAACTGATAATGTGTTCCACTTTTGACACAGCAAACCAAATTTAAACAAAAATTAGTCAACAAACTGTCATCAATTTAATCTTTCATACATTTTTAAAAATCAATCCATCCAATTCAATACCTTTTTTTGGCCTAAATCAAAGAGGTTCAGCCCCTCTAAAATAATTATATACATGTTTAAATCTTATGTACATATACGTATATGAACTTTAATAATTAATAACTGGAATATTGATGCAAATTGTAAATGTAGTGCAAAAACTCATTTTTACAACAATTTTTTTTTCTAGTCAGTCACCTACCTTTGGTAATTAATTATGTATTTCACATGGTAAATGTGTTGATTAAAATTTACTTTTTAAATGAATTTCATGGTCAAAATGAGTTAAAACACAAAGTTTGATGTTTTGACATAAAAAAAAAAAAATGGAAAGATTAGAATTATTTATGAGAGCTTTAAAAAACATATAATCTAACTTTTTATTTTTTGGATCACTTAATTTTTGCACTCGTACAAAGTTCTATTAGCTGAAGAAGGGAATGTATGATGTACCTGAACCTTTGTAATAAATTACATTCCAACATTATCTCATATTTTTCTAACAGATGTAGGTCTTTATGCTCATTTCATGGCAAATTCACATACTGTTGAGGTTCCGCAAGGTATCTGTTAAAATTTATTTAGTCTGCTTGCTAAATGCAAAATCCTCCCAAAAAACCTCACCCAGCACCTTCAACCAATGTCGATAATGAATATTTTTCAATACATTGAAAAATATAGAGCTTTCCTATATCAAAACCAATATTTGATTCTTTGCATCTATCTCAGATAAATATTACATTTATTTGACACAGTTCAAATTGTTTTAATAACATTGAAATACAATTATTGCCATTTATCCTTTTCACATTATCATATCATTGAAATGATATCATTGACTGTTTTTATACCAAAGTCAGAAATAAGCATATAATGTTTTGGAAGAAAGCTCTTCAAATATTCTTCTAGCATCAAGATTAATAATATATAGTGCCATATCCTTAAATGACATTTAGAAGCAGAGGTATAACATTAACAAAACTTTATGGATTTATTATTATTATTACTAATATTAGTTTATTCTATGCAATGTTTGCTTGATAAAGATACCTTTAAGAGTACAGACATGTTGCATGAAATAAACTAAGAATGAGTGAATCCATAAAGTTGTGTTTTTTAGTGTCATTTAAAACTGAATAAACTATATATATCTCAGCCTTAAAAAAATAAAAACAACAAAAAATATGTTAAATGACAACTGGAGAGATCATTGTAAGTATTATGATGGGATATAATGAAATATTAACATATAATTTTGACATGTATTTTGATTATAGTTCCTGACGGAATTCATTGTTTAAATTAAAGGCCTTTCATTTTGGCTTCCATTAAAGGCACCTTTTCTTCATCATCATCTATCCACAACCTAGATTCTTTCTTTGATCTGAAACACAAAAACAAATTAACTTATAGTTAGTTTTCTGAAGTAACTAAACCTTGGAGTTTTCCAGTGAGGTGGAGGGCAGCTTTTGTTCAATGACAACATTGCCCTATATTTTTGGTGTTTTTTTTGTTGCTTTTGAGTAAGTTTTAAACAATTCTGTTTATTGCTGCAATTTATTCACCTTTTGGCCAAGTTTACAGATCACCCAGTGAAAAATTGACAATTACTAAATAAACTACTTACAGCAGACGGGCAAAATAGGAAAGCGAGAACGCAAGTACCAACCATATTGAAGACTTGACAATTCTCCCAATTTTATAGGGAGTTTCTTAAACATAATGCAGCCAAAAGAATCTCTTGTACATCACTTGTTTTGTTTAATAGTTAAAAAGTAAACAATCTTATACTTTGCACATCACATGCCATACAGTGACAATAACACCACAGACTTGACTAGAACATGTCTACCGATTGGACAATAACCATAAATCAGAACATTTGATTTTTCTCCTCTCAACATAAAAGGAAGGTGATTTTATGTACGTTAACCAAACATTTTATTATATACATCTCTATTAAACCTGCGTCTACCTAACCTCTAAACTCTGTGAATAGGCCTTAAAATATTAACTTACTTTCCATATTGTCTCCGCTTTTCTCTTAATCTGGAATCGGCACCATCTGGATCATCCATCATTTCTATAAGCTGCATCTCATTATTCGAATCAATCGGCCCAATTGATATATCTCTAACAGCTCGAAATTGACCACAATTGTTCAAATGTTCATTCTCTAAACGGAAAAAATTCCATACAAAACGTCTGAAAATGAATAGAGTTTTTTTAAATTAATATCTTTGTTTACCCACTGTATGTCAAGATGTACTTGTATGTGATCTCCATTGTTTTTTGTCTAGTTTGAATCACAGTAAATTGCCATGATTTTTCAATCATGTATCCAAAATGGCCAAAGTATGAATGATAATAATAATTATTTAATTAATCTGATAGTCATCCTAAAATTCACTGCGACTCTTCTTCTGTTGGTAGTATGCAGGACGGATTGTTAACTAGTGAATTAAGACAACATTTTCAATTGCCTCAACTGTACAGTAAATAGCCAGTTATCCTAGTAGTAAGCAATATTTATTGCAATTGATGTTTTTTTGGCTGAAGTAATCGAAAACCCCATGTTCATATGTTAAGTCCAGATATGCATTATATTCTATTTCAACAGCAACTTGACTTACCTAAATACTTCAAACGAAGCTAATAAAGTCGTTAATATTTCATTATGAAAAAATAATCCTTCTCCTATTGATACTGTTAACGACCAAGTAAATCTCAATATGAAATCTTCTACAATTGCAAAATAATAATATGCCTACAAAGATACAGAGATAGGTTGCAAGACAAAGATAATATGGCCACCAGCAGTTTAGTCATCTGAGCTGTTTATTAAGTTTGCTACAATCTTATAGTTTTGATAAGAAATTCTCCAGAATCCTTAAAATTATGAAAAAATCAATCTCAGAAAACAGTTTTTTGATAGGGCTCACAGCCCCAGCAGCTTTCAACATAAATCATTAAAACTGACCTATAGAGCTATTACAAGGTTTCTAATAAAACAATTGCTATTTATTTATGCCAATGATCGAGTAGTTGACTATAAAAATTCAATAACTCTCATCTACATAGTGATTATGAGTTGGACAGAAAGACAGACTGGGGTGATGACAATATACAATCACATCAATCTTATTAAAATCTCATGTAAATTATTTTTTTACATTGTACGAAATTGACATTTGACATACTTTCTTTGAAAACAGTGTCCAGACATCGTAAATTTACTGATCAATCAAATAGCCTGTATTGGTATATAAGGTTGCATTTTGAGGTAAATTATATTATGGGGATTTTAAACTCCAAGCATATAATGTGATTCAGATGGTGACAGAACATGGTTCCGACAGTAAGTATGTTAGATTTAATTTGGCACTTCCATAACAAAGTTTTGCATCTATAGTTTTTTGCTATGCATAGATTTGTATCTCTCCAGTAAAAATAAAAGAACTACCTTAAAAGCATAAACAATTTCTTCTCGAAGAAATTTATTTTCTCCAGCATTTTTATCAAACAGCCCCCAATCCATTTTTATATCCCATGTATATGTGTAACATGAACTCATTATTGCTGATACTATCCATAAATAATAGAAAACGCTGGTCTGTCTAAAACTATCACCATATGTCTCTATAAATACAAATCAGTGTTGTCAAAGTTAGGATGGGCAGTCTTGAACCAATAATTTAAGAGAGGAATAAAAATGGGGTTAACATTAATTTTAGGACTAACATAGTAAACACAATATTCGGCAGGTAACCCTTACTCTTTGTCACATACACAACCTGAATCCATCACATGACTGCCATAAGCCACAAACATGAAGGTCTACATTACATATATTAGACCACCTGGTCACTCTATCTTCAAGTCTACCTAGCTGTAAATGCGAACCAGTTTTGTGAATAGAGCATGTACTATGTTCTCCTAGAAGCTGGGGTAATATTGTGAAGTGTTTCAAGAATGTCCCTTGGTGGTGGGAAGTTTAGTGCATTATGTCCTTATTATCAATAAGCTTATTATAATCAATATTATTAAAATTAGAAATTTGTAGAGAATAATGAAAGACAGTCATATTAATAACTTTATATTAATCAACAATTATTTGATCGAGTTTATTCACCTTTTTGTACTTTGTATATGGTAGAAAATAACATAACAAAGAACGTCGTTGAATATTTTCCAGCGTTGACTATGTGTGGGAAAATTAGTTTGGTATCTCGATAACGTCTAAGACACTGGGCAAAACGAAACCATGCTGGCAAACAACCAACCACAGATCGGATACCATATATATTTTTGGTACAAACTGATGGTCCTGTCAATAGAAAAATTAAATTACTAGTAAGTTTTAAATCCCCATTGTGCCAGAAGGCCCAAAATCATTTTCTGTATATAGATTTATCAAGAATATGGATGAAATAAATTAGGTTAGATACATGTACTATTATGAGTCAATGTTCAGTGACAGAAATTAAGACTGTGGCATGAACTTTAGATAACCCATTTTAATCATTTTTGGCTTAATCTTCTTGGTAGACTATCATACATTTTATTGCGTATGGTCTGAAAGTCTCCAAGTCTACATTTGCCGTTTCGTCTGGAATATTGTGCCTTTAACTTTATATACCGGTAGTCAAGAGAGTGGGTTTCGGTATACTTGTCGGTCTTTAATCATTGGCAATGAAAATTATCTGCTGGAGAATTTACCGGTCAGTCAATTTCCATGGCATAAATGTAGGTATTTCATCAAATTAACCATGAAGAAGCATTATCACTTTCAATTAGTACATAAATGTGGCCAAAACATGAGTGAACACACTAGTCAGATTACAATGTAGGGTAAAATTCTGGGGCAAATAGTTGACCTCTTTGCACTGAACCAATACTTACAATTGTAAATAGAATAAATAAATATGGACATACACCTTATACACCACTTCTTAATTTATTGTTTACTTACGGTTTTCACCAATCCAATCCACTTCAAAACCGAAATAACAAACCAGATATTCAAAATCTAATAGAACTGTTACCAAACTATTTAACTGATCAGCTAGCCAGAAATCAGCGAAACCAACATGATGAAAGGGTGCAGTGAAAATTCTAAACTAAAATAAAACATGAAATATATTTCATTATATTACTGCATGTATGTAGGTATATCATTCCATGTTTTTGTATGCAAATTACAATGTCACTAAACAAATACTGAAACAAACATAATGGACATACATTTTAATTTTACTACCTTGAAAACTAGATTATCATCATAAAAATCAATTCTTGGAATCTTATACATTTCTCTATACCAAAAGTATACAAAATACTAAAAATTCTTTAACAAAACAATTGTCAAAACGTTATCCAAGCACTTGAAAATTGGGAATGTTTGCCCAACATAAACTGTTTTTTGTATTTCATTGAATTCACTAAATATATCTGGCCCCAATTTCTCAACGTTATCCAAGCACTTGAAAATTGGGAATGTTTGCCCAACATAAACTGTTTTTTATATTTCATTGAATTCACTAAATATATCTGGCCCCAATTTTAATGTATCAAATACATCAATAAGAAAACTATGTGCAAATTTCAGTGTTTCTGGATCAAAGATATTTCTCATAAAAAGTGATTGAAAGTTGAGGAAATTCTTAACTTAAATCTGAGAATGCTTTGTGAAATCGGGGCCTGGATCGGTTTCTTTAAATTTAAAGCATTAGTTTCTTGTTTCTAATGCAGTAAAATATACTTACTAATACACGAAGTAACCACATCCTCGCCCTATAATGAAATATTTTAAATGGATTGATGAGGTAAAGTAGTAAAAACACAGCCATGGTGAGTGGATGAGCCATTGGTGGTATGTACAAAAAATCACTAAACAAATAACCTAGAACACTGACCGCCCATAACACGGCTAAAAATGATGCCAACTGAAAGAACAAATGAATAATTTAAATGATTTTATAGAGTCAAATGGTTTGGGGGACAAGGGAGTGGGATTTTAAAGGATAATGTAATAGTGTTGTCATGTGTGTAGATTCTTTGTCTTGTTCACCTTACTTTGGATTTTTGGGTTAGTCTAAAGGCAGAACTGTACCAATATTCAGAATCCATTTTATGCAGAGTTCATTTGCTTGGATTGTTCATATACCTGTAGAGTCATAAGGAGCGGCCATGTACAAATGCAATTTTATGCAAAGTTATTGCCTGTCATTGAAACACATACTTGCAGAGTTATGAGGAGGAACTTTTTTCTCAAGAATTATGACTTCTAACATTGAAACATTGTAAGGGACATTTTTTTAGTTATCAAAATTCAAAAGAACAATAGTCAAAAGGTGGCAGTTTTCCAATCTAATCAAAATTAGATTTTTATTTTGTTTTGACTTATGACGTTATCAATTCAGTAACAAATTAAGGCATATATTTATTGCTTGGCAAAGTTATGTTTAAAGTTAAAATATACTAACCTCTAATAATTGTGCATGAGACAAGTGATGCCTTGGATCAATTTCAAAAATTAAAACATGATTGACCCCTGATGACCTCCAACCATATGTGTTGACACCCAAGAGAAAGAGGTCAAAAATGAGTAAGAACATTCCTCGGTACATACGAAGAGCTGGTTCCCAATCTTTTGAATGATCAATGAAAACGGCTGAAAATATACATTTGGATAAAACTTTTAAACTGCAAACAAAATTTTAATAATGTAAAACTGGGAGCATAAATGAGTAAATCCCATATATCAGTGTTGGGTAAGGATGCAGAGAGGTGGGTGGGAGGAATAAATAAATAAATAAAGGAGTGATGAAATTAGGCAAAACAATTCATTACATCAAACAAAGTACAATAAAAAATGTTAGTTTTCTGTACTTCATAACTTAAGTGGTATCAGGTGTTATAAAACAAGTACAAATGGCTGTTTTATGACAATCTAATTAAAGTCAGCTGTTATGGTCACTCCTTTAACGTCAAAAGAAATGTTCAAGTAAAGCATATTCTAGGCCTGCAATGCCCTTGACCTTAATTAGACAGCCAATTAAATGTCTGGACAATCAAAGCCTTTTATGAAATTTTGCAGAATTATTTTATATAAATGTGTGTGATAAAACTTAAAACACAAAGAATGATCAAAACAATAATGGTAAATACTTTTATTATTGCAACTCTTTAAGTGAAATATCACATGTGTTACAAATCATGCTGGACAAAATTAATCAAACCATTTAGTCAGAAACAAAAATATTAGTAACGTGTATTTAATTTCACAATTATGCCATTTTTCTCCTTTTCTCTTATCTATTGAAAGTCAATTATTTTTTTGAATTGTCAGATATCCTCCCACAGTCTCATATAACAACTTTTGGTCTTCGAAGGGATTATTAGTGAACAGAAATTCGCCCATGTATCTGTTATCATTCGTCACTTCAGTCAGTTACATCATAACGCATCTATCGTAGCAATGATCTGTGTTAAAATTATATTTGGAACGTGTTTAACCAGTTCTATCACATATGTGATAAAGACTGACACCAATATTGTCCTTTAATTAGACCTGTTTCACAGACTTTGAATTAGAAATGTTCACATGATGTTATTTCAATATGTTTGAAAGTCATTTTTATACGTATACTCAATCTGGTTAAAGCACAGATCCTATTTCGTTTCGTTTTAATAGTTCAAAATTTCGTTTTAATAGTTCAAAATTTCGTTTTACTTGTCTTTACTACACTTGGATCTGGAAGACTTGTTATTTAAATCGTGTTCTGAATGTTGTCAGGGATAAGGCAATGAAATGGTCTGTTACGGCGAGCTTTAGGCGTGTTTTCACGGAACTGGGAAATCCACTAGTAACATCAATGCTGATTGTCTGACGTCAAAAGGACATAAGTCGGTCTTTTGACCCCTGACGTGACCTATCGCTATAACTTGTCAGATCTTTATGTAGTGTAGGCCATCGAAAGTATAAAAAAAACGAAACGAAATATACATCTGTAATTTAATCAGATTGACTTATACTCTACGTCAAAAGTCAATTTTACTCAAATATTCATAATATTTTTTATGACTGTCTTATTGTCTTCCTTTATTGTAGTTTGTAATTTTTTTTGTTGAACTTACCAGCTACAACAATAACTATGGTAAGAATTGCAAACATCCCTAAGTATAATCCAACTCGAAAATTGGTCCATGGTTTTTGCTGAAAAAAAATATTTATAAAATACAATAGACACAATAGTTCTATAATATGTCCACTCAACATAATTTAGCTTATTCTTGGACAAACATACAATATATTTTATTCAATAACTTGAACTGAGGGGTTGGGGTGGGGGGAGACTGGAGATTTCCGTGAAAGCCTTTACTAAGCACAAACATGGACAATTAAGACCAATTACTCAAGGTTTAACACAAACCTGGATGATCTAAGCTCCATGTCAAACACAAGCATGGATGATCAAATGCTCTTTGTTAAAATAAATACAAGTTATATGTATGTTATGGGGACCTTTGCTTGATTATTATGCTTGAAAACATAACTCTAATTAAAATACAGTAATTTTTTTCCATATAACTGCCATGTTTATTTTAATGTGTGCGATTACTAAATGCTGTTTAAACTGTACTCTCTGTCAAACACAAGCATCTATAATCAATGACAACTCTCAAGATCTGCAGCACATGTATTACAGTACACCACTACCCTTATAAGTTTAATAATGATGTGACTGACCATGACAAATTTATGTATCTTAGAAAAGAACAAACAAATCATAATCTTGAACAGGAAAAGTATAAAATTTAGCCTTTTTTGGTTAACTGATTTCCATGTTTTGCAGAAAAACTATCAGATATTGTTTTGATTAAAATACTAAATTACCTGATCCCCCAATGGTGGAACACGAAGTCTTTTCATGGCTTTCTGTCGATTTCCACCTTCTAACTCTGATGTAACACTTTGCTGCAAAACAACCGATTATAATGATTATAGAATGAAATCGTGACAATATTTCTTGAACACATAACAATATTTCTAGAAAATATTTCTTGAACACATCATGACAATATTTCTAGAACGCATTATGACAAAATAATTTGAACACATTCCAACTTGTGAATAATAAATACACCTGAAATTTTACCCTTAGATAGAATCTAAGCATTTTCACATCACAACAGAATGGTATATATAACGAAATAACATGTAGAGTTATTGAATGGCATTATGTTCTAATACCATACTCATCATAAACATTGTCCAGTGTCTATTCTGACTTTAGGCAATGATCATATGGAAAATCATAACACCAATCAAACAAATTCGGCAGCAGTGTGAAATCCCCATTCATGAAAGATCAAGAGTCAGGCATAATCATTATTCTTACAAAATTATATCCATATAAAATCACCAGTCACAAAAAAAATTCAAGTAAGATCACACAAAATTATCAAAGCATCAACATTCAAGTAATAAGACAAATCAAGTAAAATGTTCTCTCCGCAAAATCGTCAGTCACAAAAAATCTACATTCATGTAATATTAGTAATCAAATATAATCATCTGTTCGGCAAAATTGACAGTTAAGAAAAGTCGCTATTCAGTCAACCATGATCTGCAGTCACTCGACACTATTATAAATTACAAAATTAATCTAACATGCATTTCAGGAATGATAATTTCGCCTTTATTCTTGTGAAAAATAGGAATATATAGTTGTTACCTATACACACATTGTGCCATTAATAGGGTATTTATGGTAGAGACATTTGTAATTAGCATTGTTATTAATATATAACCAAACCTCAGTATCTTTAATAAGATGATCAACTTCTTTGTTTGTATAGAAAGGTGCCGTTTCAACATGAGCTTGTCTCCATTCTGCGCCATGATTAGTCTGCATCAACTTAATAAAAACAAAAATACATCAACTTATTTAATTTACCCTTTCTATTGTATAATTGTGACAGCCCAATAACTGTATAAAACAAGCCAACAGTGAGGCTGATGTCTCACGCCGAAATCCCAAAATAAATTGCACATTTATCTTTTTCAAAAGTATTGAGCAATGTAACAATGAATGTATTAAATATGAAATTAGGGCATATGTCTTTTTTTTTAAAAAAAAAATCAGAAGAAATTAAAATTTGATAGACTTCAAGTTTTTCCTCTTGTTAGAATCCATCCTGGGATCAAAACCATGCCACTCTACTCAATGGCAGACCGTATGATCTAAAATCATATGTATTGGAACACTTTTCTACCCAATTCCCCTTGAAATAAAATAATGAGTTTTGTCATCCGTTTTTACACCTACCTACATTTACAGATACATGTCAGAGTGATGAACCGTGGTGCAGATTATGGAATTATTACCAAATCAGTCCGCTGGGCTAACATTTAAAAAAAAGTTCAGTACTTGATTATAGAGAATCAAGTGTTTCTTTAGACTATAACTATGTTTTTATTGGACAGTTCTGAAATTGTTTTTAAACAATTATTTGTTGAAGAATATTGTATTTAGGTTTGATACTGATTTAAAGTGACTCTTAATGTCTGTAACATTTACTACAAAAAGCAGAAATCAAGTCCTTTGTTTTTGTCTTCAATTTAATAAAGTTTTTACTCTACCTTGTCTCTCTTCTTAAGAATTTTTCGGAATCCCTCGAAATTTAACGTCTGATAATTCTGCAGTAAAATAAGACTGAGATAAAATTCACTGAAAGCTAATTTTAAATCATGAAGTCTTGGCGTGTGAACTATGCCCTGTGTTTCTTTATCTTTAAATAGTCCATACACACTAGCTCGACGTCGACGTAAGGAAGAAATAGAATGGGAATGCTTAGTATCATGATCCAAATAAACGTTGAGTTCTGATTTCAAATTGGCATATTTTCTGTTGGCTTCTGAAAGTTTTTCTGAAAAAAAAAAAACCATAATAAATTTATCCATATATTCACCTTCTGGAATTTGCCAAATTGGGAGTCTTACTGAATGTATGGTGAAATCTTTTACTAATCTTCAATTCATGAGAGATATGCTACAGTATTTGCATCATCAAGATTATAAATGGCAACATTTTGAGTGAACAGGTCAAATTTGTCCATTTTGTTCAGTAAGATAACTGTTTATCAAGTATATTTACTCTTTCTAATGTAGATTTACATTATTTAATTTAGGGTAGTGCATGGATAGGGATACTTAGGTAATATTTTAACATGGGTGTGGGCTTGTTAAGACAATCACTGTCATCATTCATCAACCCCCTTTTTCTCCCTTTTAAAAAAAAAAAACACTATAAAATCAAACCTTCAAACAATCAACATGTGAACGGAAAGATAACTCTGCAAAACGTATCTAAAATCTATGATCCAAAAATTTTGAACATTACTGAGGTTCTTTCTTATGCCCCAATAAAATACTACACCAGTTTTAAAAAAATTATAATTATATTGCATCGATTTGACCTGTATTGATTTCACTAGTTTTCATAAACTGGAACATGAAGGGGAGATAATTAAGTCATTTTTACGACCCAATATAAATTTGAAAAATTCTTCAAGAGTGGTAAATTATTGATGGACAACATACCAACAGACAACAATGTGGATGTATAAAAAAGTTGATCCAAGTACTTGTCATCATTATCTATCTAATGGTAAAATATAATTTATAATTAATCACTCATAAAATTTGAGCTAGAATTTCGTTCTATTCATTCCCTAACAATACCAATACAGATATCTGAGGAATCGTAAATTTTATACAAATCAAACAACAGCATTCAATACTTCCAACACTTTCAAATGTTCCATTCCAACACCCAATAGTTACTTACCGAGAAAAAATGTATTAATTTTACTGAGTTCAGCATCACAAAACTGGAAAAACCTTTCATCAAAACGAGCAAAAAATCTCTGTATTGTACTGTTGTCTGTTACTATTTAATATAAAATAATTTAATTTAAAACTTACAAATAGTCCAACATATGTACATAAACCTCTTTCAAATTCAAAATTCTAGAATTTACAAGATCTGACAATAATCGACAGAGGATTGCTTATTCTTCCGACGAGAATTGTAATTATATAGGCAAAAAGAAAAAAGAAAATTGTATTATAAAAGCCAATCAAAACATGTTTCTAGGCTTCTACATGCTCTTATGAAGGATTGATAAAAGTAATTCTAACCTTCAGCTGACGGTGCCTGTTCCCGTGCCTCATATAACATGGTCTTCATATCCTGAAACACATTGATAATATAAATCATAATCAATTAGTCCTATGTAAATGTCATAATCATATATACATGCCCCATATGCCTTTGTTTTTGTTGGGCATCAAAATAATTAGATCACTTTGATTTATAAAAATAAAATGATCAACTTCAGTGGATTTTATACGTTGATTTGTTTTGTGGGATAAATAACCTTGTCAAACTTTCCGTTTGCAGATGAAGCCAATGTTGGGCGGACGGTCTGTCATTGTTGAAACTATACTCTTCAAAAAAAGTAGGGGATATTGAAATGCAAATACCTATGCAGGTTGTAATATGATAAATATTCATGGACACTTGAAATGCTTTGAGAGTATATTCACAAATGAACAACTTATCGCCCCAACAGAACCACTGAGCTGCACATGCGACACGCAATAGTGCCATACATGTGGGAGGGGTTCATTGTCAAATTTGACACTCCAAGGAAGGGTTGATAAAAACTGCTGCTTGCTGGTTTATCTAACCATGTTTGCTTTACTATCGGTTCTTGCATAAGAGTTACTGATCAGCGTATCTTTGCTTTAGTGTGTTACATTTAATTTGATCGGGAGATGTGTTCGTCGACGTCAATGTCAAACGACAACACTGCAAGAATTGGCCGTGGCACTGCAAGAGGAGTGGGTCAGATTGCCCCAAATCGTGATTGGACGGTTGATTAAGAGCATGCCACGACAAATTGCTGAATGTCTGAGGATTGGTGGAGCAATTATTCATTATTAAGACAAAAATCAAAAGCATCCATTTTCACTTTTGACAGCGTATCTCTTTGCGAGTGACATGGGGCTGTCAGATAAGCCGCCTTATGAACTGTTTATGTTCTTGTGTAGGCAATTGGCCTGTTATTAACATACACTGGTTACCTCTAACAAAAACAGCAGTGCATTTCCGCAGTTTTGTATTGTTTCTCAATATCCCCTACTTTTTTTGAAGAGTATATATGGTTTCTCTATAGAAACAGTAACTGAGCAAGTCAAAAAAGTTGGTTAACAAGAAGCCAAAAGCAAGCCTTCTGCTTGTTAATTGAAAACGAACAAGCAGTTGCCATGCAAGATACACACACATTTTGCAAGAGATGTCCCAATTGAATTTGAAAAAAAACCCCAAAAACTTAATAAATAATTTAGTATGTCATACATATGCTGACAAAGGTTCAGTTTTAATAAAAATAGTATTCTTAGTTATTGGTTAAGTCTATTACACAGGTTTAAAGACTTAGCCCAAATTGGGGACAATTGTTTAATATGTTGATTATAAGGTCAATATTCTCCAGTCTACTGTGTATTAAAAATACATTACGCAAGAGGTAAATCTGCCTATTGCAGGTCTTTCTTTAGGTCTGAAATGTTATTTAACCGATTAATTACACATTTATTAACAAAACAAGACCATAATAAAATCTCGATGGCATCGGATACTCGAGATTTTAACTAGATTAGAATGGTTCAACATTTAAAAATTTAATTTAAAAATGGGAAAGCGAGGCTAAGTCGCGAATATACCAGTGCGCTAGTTACCACTATGCACACATCTTGTCAAAACAATAAACAGTGATAATTTGGTTCAGAATGAAGTAATTTGGCTGAATTGTTCAATATTTTCTTTTTTTATCATCTAGTTTTGAATTATTATAGCAAAAAGGACCAACTCTTAACTAATGTATCTTTAACAAAATAACTCACAATGAATATTGGCCTAAGAAAGATTCCAAATACAATGTACAAAGCTAGCACCAAGCGCAGAACAGATTAGACACATGTAACCAGCAAAATGTTGAAAGGAAAGGGGGGGGGCACAAAATGTAATACTCATAGTTTCTTGTCAAATGATGAATGTTGCCACTGCCTCACTTCTGTTCTATTTGGAGCATTATACTCGACATTAAGTAGCTGGCAGTGTTTAAAATTCTCGCTAGACAATTATGAACCAGTTCCTCACAAACGTTAAGGATATGGTCGTGGGGTCCCGAAATACTCCTTGTATACGAACAATGGTTAAGTTTCTTCTGAATCAGACAAAAATTGGAATCTCTGGAGGGTCTACAAACTTCATACATATTTCACATTTTGAGTAAAAAACAGGCGCTATAACTCTAGAATAGAAGATCTGATGAATACAAAAATCATACTCACCCTAGAACATTTGATCCTTAACATTTATTTTAAGCTTCATCTAAATACAACAAAAATTGTAGCCTCTAGAGTGTCCATAACCTTGGTATTACATGCTTTTGCATTATTTGCATAAAGGGGAGTGGCTATTTTGACAGGAAGTTGCAGTCCGATTTGTACAAAATTAAAATTCAACCGTAATTATGGTGTAACAGTGGTATATATGAACGTTTGTTTTAAATCAAACAAAAATTGTGACCTGTACAGGACCACAAGCTAAAAATGTGATTTTTCATACAACCGGGTGCAATTATCTTAGATATGCGCCAATATCAAAAGGAACCAAAATCTTTGGGATATATATATTGAGGTTTCATCAAAATCGGATACAACCTTGGTTTCTATGCCTTTACAATATTTGTGTAGAGGGGAGTGACTATTTAGTTGTAAGTTTCGGGATGATTTTCAACTCAACCATCATTATGGGGTAACAGAGATATATTCAAACGATTTTTAAATAAAAAAAAAATTGTCACCTCTGGAGGGACCACAAGCTAAAATGTGATTTTTCCTACAATCAGTGGCCATAATCCAGGAAGTTATGGTCTGATACATGTCAATATTGAAAAGAACTAAAATCTTTGGGATATAAACATCCAAAAACGTGATTTTTCCTACAATCTGGGGTCATAATCCATAAAGTTACGGACCGAAAACATGCCAAGAACGACAGGAACTGAGATCTCTGAGATATAAACCTATATTTCAAGTTTTGTCAAAATCGGATAAAATTGACACCTGTAGCGTTGTCCACAAACAAAATGTGAACAGGCTGACAGTGGCAACATGAAAATGTGGGCATATAAAATTTAATTTTATAGAGCTTCCGCATTCTCTTTTGGTTCAATAATTATTTAAATCAATCAAAATTTTTCCATTTTGAGCTTACACAGGTTTCTATTGATTTTTCACGACTATATCTGTCGTAAAGATTAAACATACATTATGCAAGAGCTAAATCTGCATATTGCAGGTCTTTCTTTAGGCCTGAAATAATGTTTTCTAGATTATTAATTAGACATTAATTAACTTATCCAGACCATAATCAACTCTCGATGGCATCGCTAGCCTGTGATGTGCATTGGATTAGGTTCAGATTTCCTGTTTGACTTCCATTCATAATCAGGCGCGGATCCAGAGGTGGAGTTTTTGGCGGGGGGTCCCCCCCCCCCCCGGCTCAGCTACATAATTTTTTTTGTAAAAAACAACCTTTTTTATGAGAAAAGTGTCATAATTGTGCTTTATCCTTTAATGTCAGATGGTGCGACAGGATGGGCACTTAAAGCGCGAGATAATGATATAGACATATGTGATAAAATTTAATATCAATGTCATCGCATTAATTCATAATAATGTTGGATTTCTCTGTTTAAAAAGATCAATGTGTATGTATATACGCCAATATGACGATAGAGACCATGTATTTCTCAAAAAATAATTTCAAGCCATGGGGGGGGGGGGGGGGAAGAGATACATTTTCTCAGGAACCTGGCAAACCCCCTCCTGCAAAAATTCCTGGATGCGCCCCTGATAATTTAATCATTAAACGGATAATCGTGGCTATGTTTTTTATCCTTCCGACTTTAGTGATAATGATCGAAGCTAGGCCGAAAATTCAATCGGTAAAATCTCGGTTCAGAGTGGATCAATTTGACTGAAATTTTCAGCAAATTCCCTTTACATTATCTAGTTTTTAACTATTATAGTGAGAACTGCCAGCTCTTTATCTAATCTCCCATAATGTATCTTTAACAACGATTAGTATAGTAATAATAACTGTGCTATCTTTATCATACAAACTAGTCCATCCTTCATGGAGTTTTTTTTTTAAAATTTAGATGTGCTTAATTACATCATAGCAACAGTCTTTCGTAAGGACTCTTTCCATTAAAATAAAACATACTTTTGACTTTTGATGTACATGGCTTGTAGCTGTTAATATTGCATACACATGCAAGCAATAAAAGCGAAATAACAAGGTACAAGGACATAATTTTGGTACAATTTGGCCATGTCCCAATTTCTTATTAAATTTTTTAAGCACCTGTATCGTCATTATACAATATATGGTAGGCTTGTGCATCAGGGCTTAGTGAATGATAGGAGACTGGATTGGAGTTTAATGTCTTGTCAACACTATACTTTGAGATAGGTATTCAATAATTTTTATTTCTATGGTTATGTGTGCAAATAGTGCAATACAAGGTAGGAGACAAGGCATGTCATTCTAAATACAAAAGCTGATCTGTTATTTATTATGTTTTTTATATCATACACAAGTGATTGTACATAAGTATATCTTGGAAAACACAAGTGGATCATGTGGTAAAGTTGTTTTCTTAGTCAAATCTACTGTTATTTTCATGAATAATCACACACCATTTTCATCATGTGGACTAGATAAAAAAAAACCCAAAAAATCCCCACTGTGCTAGTTAATGTTTGCAATACTTTCAATCATTATATAGTCAGTCAACCCATACATGTAAGTCCAATTCAACTACCCAGTTAATTGTAAAGACATGGTAAAGTGGCAGTCCCAGATTTCACAAAGTCATCTTAAAAAATTTTTGTTTGAAGTATATAGGGCAATACTAAACACTGAAAAGTTATGAAAAATACAAAAAAAAACCCATCGAAAAACACAGAAAAATATTCTTGGATACTATTTACCCAAAAAATCAAAAAAACATTTACAGCTTGTATTTGTTGTAAGTTGCTGTCCATTTACCATAAATATCAAAGCCTTAGTATAGTAAATTCCTGGTTTATCTTCTATCAACTTCTTTTTCTGCT